TCAGGAGCCACCGGGAACTTCGTAAGCCCCGAGTTCGTCCGAAAGCACAACCTAGAGACAACCCCCCTTCCCCAGCCCATTCCCGTCCGTAATGTCGATGGAACCCCGAACGAAAATGGAGCTATAACAGAAGAGCTAGAAGCCCTTCTGACCTTCGGGCGACACACAGAGCGGGCACGCTTCGCAGTTGCAAATCTCGGGCGCCAGTCCCTCATCATAGGACACTCGTGGTTGCTGCACCACAACCCAGAAGTGGACTGGGTACGACAGAGAGTCGTCATGTCCCGCTGCCCATCCTCCTGCAGACAACCGCAAATACAAGATGATCAGGACCCAGTACTGGAGCCTGGGGATGGGATCTACGCTGCTATCATTCCCCCAAGCTGGGGCCATGACCTGAGAGCCACCACGACCCCCTCGCAGCGGATGGCCCAAGAGGCCCGCGACCCGGAGGCTGAGCCTGTGTCGTTTGAGACGCTAGTACCAGAGCACTACCAGGACTTCCGGGATGTGTTCTCCAAAGAAGCCTTTGACCAATTGCCCCCCCCGGAAGCCCTGGGACCACACTATAGACCTGGTACCGGATGCCAAACTGCCCAGGGGGAAGACCTTCCCACTCTCGCGCCCGGAACAGAAAGAGCTGGACGAGTTCCTACGCGAGAACCTACAGAACGGGCGCATACAGCCGTCCAAATCCCCCATGGGAGCACCAGTCTTCTTCGTCAAGAAGAAGGACGGGTCCCTACGCCTGGTCCAGGACTACAGGAAGCTGAACGAGATCACGGTGAAGAACTCGTACCCGCTCCCCCTCATCTCAGACGTCCTCGCCTGCCTCCGCAACGCCAAATACTTCTCAGCCTTGGACCTACGCTGGGGGTTTAACAACGTCCGGATCAAGGATGGAGATGAGTGGAAGGCGGCATTCACGACCAACCGGGGGCTGTTCAAGCCCATGGTGATGTTCTTCGGCCTGTGTAACTCCCCAGCAACCTTCCAGACCATGATGAATGACATCCTGAGGGATTTCATCGACCGGGAGGTTGTCATCTGTTACATGGACAACATCCTGATCTTCACGGTCACCCTGGAGGAACATCGAAGGGTCGTCCGAGAAGTCCTAGAGACGCTGAGGAGAAGGAGGCTCTTCCTTAAGCCAGAGAAGTGTAAGTTTGAGCGAACCCGGATCGAGTACCTGGGCCTCGTTATCTTGGAGGGTAACGTTGCAATGGACCCGGTGAAGATCCAGGGTGTCCTCGACTGGCCCCCCCCAACCAAGGTGAAAGAAGTACAATCCTTCCTAGGATTCGTAAACTTCTATCGCCGGTTCATCAGAGACTTCTCTGAGAAGGCCCGCCCCCTTCACAGGCTGACCCGGAAGACCCAAACCTGGAACTGGGGCCCAGATGAAGACGATGCCTTCCGTGCCCTCAAGGAAGCCGTCACCACAGCCCCTGTCCTCTCTTTCCCTACCGACCACGGCCGCTTCAGGCTCGAGTGCGACGCATCCAACTTTGCAACCGGCGCGGTCCTCTCCCAACTCCAACCGGATGGAGAGTTCCACCCGGTAGCATTCATGTCGAAAAGTTTCACGGACGTAGAGCACAACTACGAAGTGTACGATAAAGAAATGCAATCGTCCGAGCCCTCGAGGAATGGCGACACTTCGTGGAAGGTGCTGAGGAGAAAGTCGAGATCTACACCGACCACCGTAACCTGGGCTACTTCCGGACGGCCCAGAGGTTAAATCGACGTCAGGCCAGATGGTCCCTTTTCCTCTCCCGCTTCCATTTCACCCTCGTCCACCGCCCAGGGAAGCTCATGGGGAAACCAGATGCACTCTCTCGCCGCGCTGACCACCCGAAGGGAAGGGACGACAATGAGGGGCTGACCCTCCTCCAACCGGCCTGGTTCGAGGCCCGTGCGACGGAAGCAGTCTCAGTGGAAGGTGAGGAGGCGGATATCCTAGAGAGGGTACGAGGAGCGAGAGATCATGACAAGCAGGTGGTAAAGGCCATGAGGGAACTGGGAGAAGGAACGTTAAGGTCGGACGAGTGGGAGAGACAGGGAGAGTTGGTCCTCTACCGAGGCAGGGTGTACGTTCCAAAAGACCCACAACTCCGCCATGATCTGGTACGGCTACACCACGACGCGCGGGCGACAGGACATCCAGGGCGATGGAAAACCCTAGAGCTCGTCTCCCGTGACTACTGGTGGCCTCGGATGGCAGAATATGTCGGGCGATACGTACGTGGATGCGACACCTGTAACCGCATCAAATCCTTCCCCGCATGGAAGGTTGGGAAGCTCACCCCAAATAAAGTCCCCACCCACCGTTGGCAGGTAATCTCGGTAGACATGGTGGGAGAGCTCCCAGAGTCGAAAGGTTATAATGCCATCCTAGTTGTAGTGGACCGTCTGTCCAAACACATCCACGCGATCCCCACCGTGACATCCGTGGACTCGGCTGGTATCGCCCAGCTCTTCCTAGAGCACGTCTGGAAGCACCACAGGCTCCTGGAAGAGATCCTTAGCGACAGAGGGAGCGCCTTCGTCTCGCGCTTCTCGAAAGAACTTGCAGATCTCCTGGGGGTCAAGCTAACCCCCTCAACGCCCTACCACCCCCAGACTGACGGACAGACAGAGCGGGTTAACCAGGAAATCGAAGCCTATCTTCGGGTGTTCGTCAACCACCGCCAGGACGACTGGGCGGACTGGCTCCCACTGGCAGAATTTGCCTACAACAACCGCGTCCACTCGTCCACCCATCAAACCCCCTTCGAGCTTGACACCGGGCAGCATCCCAGGATGGGGACAGAGCCCACACGTACGTCTGAGGTAGAAGCCGCCGACGCCTTCTCGTCCAGGATGATGAAGATGCAGGAAGAGGCGAAGGCGGCCCTGGAGCACGCAGCGGACGAGATGGCCCACTACTATGACCGAGGTCGAGAGACAGCCCCCAAGTACCAGGAGGGTGACCGAGTCTGGCTCAGCGCCCAAAACTATACGACTGACCGCCCGACCAAGAAGCTAGACCATAAGTGGCTAGGCCCCTTCAAAGTTGTCAAGGTCGTCTCCCCAGCTGCTGTCAAGCTCCAGCTCACTGCACGGCAAAAGGGAATTCTGTCAGGGCACATACCCTGACTTAGCCCGGACCCGGACCCGCGTCCGGACCCGCTCCACTTCCCGCGCACTTCCTGCGCCGCACGCTCCGCGCGCCGCATGATCCGACCCCGGATCCCACCTCATGTGACTTCCGGGTATCCCCGGAAGTTTTCGCCATATTGGGGCCACTGTGGGAAAGTGAGAAGTTAACCTTCTTCTCACTTTCTTACCCACAGTAGGCAAGTGTAGCCTACTCTTCATTTATCTATACACTTTCTTACCCACAGTAGTTATGCCCTGAGATGGGCTGTGTTTACAGGCTAGACTGTGGACTGTAGAGAGGGGTCATGGGGACCCGGGTCCGTCCCCTGACAAATTCACCCAGTCGTATCTGTGACGAACGTAAGACCCTACCGCCCGGACGAGATCACGGAACGACCCCCCGACCCCCGCCCAGGCCCAGAACTCGTAGATGGAGAGGAGGAATATGAAGTGGAAAAAATACTGGACTCTAAATGGTTACGCCAGAAGCTCTGGTATTTAGTAAAGTTCGCAGGTTGGCCGAACTCAGAGAATGAATGGCTCCCCCGAGACCAACTAATCCATGCCCCTGACCGGATCGAGGAGTTCCACCAAACACACCCCCACGCCCCAGGAAGGGAGAGAACGAACCCCCTGGCCGCTTGGAGGCGAAGCGGCTTAAGGAGGGGGTGATGTCAGGGCACACCCACCTGACCTGGGTCCACCCGGACCCACCCGGCCACACCACACCCGCTCCCCGCTGTCTATCCCCCTCCCCCCTCCTTCCTCCCTCTCCTCCCCTTTCTTTTCCCTCTTCTTTCCCCTTTCTTTATTTCATTCTTCTCATCTTCCTCTTCCTGTTTATTTCTTTCTATCTACACGGACCACCTTCCTTTGTATCGATGTACTATTGACCCGTCCGGCCCACACACCCCGGACAGCTTCCCGCTGTGCCCAGCACACGCGCATGCAGCGGACGCTCTTGGGATCCCCCACGGGGACACCCGGATGCCTGCAGCTGCCTCCGAGGATGATGTGGCACCCGTCATGTGACTCAAGCTGCATGTACATAAATGTACCTGAAGTGGGAACCGAAGAAGTAACCTTCTTCTCACATTCTCCACTTCAGGTAAGTAGTATAGTTTTCCCCTTTAATAATAATAACACATTCTCCACTTCAGTCTGAGTGGCCAGGGACCACTGTCCCGGATCGGGCCCACCAGTACGCATGCCCGCTCCACACCCCGCGACGGCCTCAGTGCCGGACATTACCCCCGGGCCCTCTCGACCCCAGACACGTCCCTGACACATGTTTGAGCTGATGTCCACTACCCAGGTGGGATTCACCGGCAGGGCAACAGGGGCAACGCACAGAGCTGAGGACATTGAAGGGGATCGATATGTGTCATGGGTGGTAGATCCCTTGCCCCCCTTACATTTCTGGTGGTCCTTACAGGGGCCCAGTGTTGCGTGCTCACTCAATTTCCTACTGGGCTTGTGGCCATCATACTTTCATTTCATACACGCTTTACACATTTCTACCGACGTTACAAGACGCACAGACAACCCACGATTTAGTTTGGAACATACTTACCAGAAGTTTTGGCCTGAGTTGCCGCAAAAAGTGTTATTACAGAGTTTTTCCCCAAGTTCACATTAAGCGCTGTTCTGCCGACGCGAGGCGACAGCAGAGTACCCAGAGGTGACCAGAGAGTCCCTCACCAGTGACCCAAGACATTTGTTTGGCCAGAGTTGCCTCAAGAGAACCTACCATTCCAGACTCGCGCATTTTTGACCAGAGTGTCACCGAGTTTCCTCCTTGTTGTGTCCCCACGACGACGACGACAGTCACCCGACGAGCCAGACAGCTACCAGACATGGCATTGGTCGTTGAGGTTCCATGTATGCCAAGCCCTCGGAGCAGGGAAGCGCCCCGGTTCAAGGGGAAGAACATTGACAAGTTCTTACGGGAATTTCGGCTTTTAGCCAAGACTTCGCAGCTCACAGACGAGCAGAAGTGCCTCTACCTCACATCCTACTGCAAGGAGAGGGAGGCTGAGTTCATCAGAACGCTTGATGGTTATGAAACCCACGATTGGACATTCCTCAAAGATGAGCTCCGCAGTTTTTACTCCTCCGAGTCCGAGGACTGCGTTTACCACACGAAAGACATGTGCAAATTCGTCAAGAAAGAGCGCAAGATCAAGCGCCTTTCTCATCTTGAGAAATACCGTCGCAAGTTCCAAATTATCGCGACATCACTTGAAGCACGCCACCGGTTGAGTTCTATAGACCGGGATGACTATTTTTATTCCGGACTGCCCAAGAAGTTCAGGAAGAAGCTCAAGAGCGAGCTTCGGGTGCAGCGCTTGTGGTCTGACTTGACCAAGCCACCCGAGATGCAGAATGTTGTCAAAGTTGCCAAGTCATTGCTTAGCCCTGACAAATATGATTGTTCTGACGGATCAGACACATATGACGACGCAGATATGTCCGATCCAGACTCAGAGGACGGTTCCTCCATAGCTGACCCGAGCCCAGACTCAGAAGGCGACAACGTGAGTCGCAGCCGCATGCAAGAGACCAGAACCAAGTCGATTGCCAGTGAATCAGCGAGTTCAGCGCTGAGAGACACAAAGTCTAGCCCAAAGAGTGATGCCCAGCCGTGTGCTGATGTTCAGATTCCAGCACCAGCACAGACCCGAGTGCCTACAAAGTCCCTGGTGGACCAGTTGTCAGCGCAGATCGAAGAACTTTCTCTCCAAGTTGCATGGCTCCAGCGACAAGAGCCAGTGCATCAGGAGACGCCAAACAAGAGCTTTAGATGCTACATGTGTGACGCTTATGGCCACAGACTGCAAGACTGTCCAGAGACCAAGGAATTCTTGGCGCGCGGTGTCCTCAAGACTGATGTTAACAACAGAATTGTGTTGTCAGATGGATCCTCCCTGCCTTATGCCGGCAGTGGTGGCATGTCCCCAATCATCCGAGAGATTGCCAGCCGTAGAGCAACGGTTTCGCGCACAGAGTTGCACCGAGTCTGTGAACCCACAATGAGTTGCGAGTTTAGCGACTGGGAATGTGGCGAGTTCAATGCCTGCCCTATAGAGTGTTCAAGTACGACGTCCCCAGAGTACATGATGCCTAGTATGGGCGAAATGCCATCGATTTACAGGCATAGTTCAGACCAGAGTGTGTTGGCTTCGAATATCGAGCCTGAGCCGAGTCTTTATGCGCGGAATCACTCATTTGACGAAACACCGATGCTCCCAACAGTCTTGGATGATCCAGATGTTGAAAGACGCGATGTACCTCCGCCAGAGATGATCCCTGAGTCGCAGAGTCGACAGATATTTGAGGCTACACCGACTGTGCCTCCAAGCGCCAAAGTTGTGATAGATCAGACTAGTCCTGATGACACCCGGGCCAGAGAGCCTCAGATGACGACCCAGACGCGTATTTCGACGCGAAAGCAAGCCGCCTGCGAAGGCAATATGGCCCAGAGTCCAGAGGCTGAGCCTGAGATTGGCGAAGCGTTGACACATATCGAGTTTGAGCCAAGCGTGGCCCGGGAGTCTGAGAACTTGCAAGTTCTTGATCCTTTGATGACTCAGCGAGTAGACGAGCACCCTGATAACATCATGAGCGATTTGAACGCATCGTGCGATTGTGCAGAAGTGATAGAGGAGATGTATGAACTCCCAGCGGACTCGAAGGCTGGAGCAGTGATTCTCCACCTTGAGTGCATAGAACCCGTGGAAACGCCTCAGATGAGAGCGTCAGAAGCAGAAGAGCCAGTCCTTGCTTTGGCTGACCCAAACGATGTGACAAAAGCGGAGTGCCTAGTTCCAAGTTCCAGACAAAATGTCTATTTGCGTGGCGACAAGTCCAAATCAAGCGAAGTTAGCTGCGATTTCCAAACGCTAGTCATGGGAAAGAGAGCTCGGCACACCAATGTTCCCGATCCTCCCATTCGACCTGTGGTTCTCCCAGATGCAGTGGCCATGATGCCGCAGAGATGTGTGCAAGTTGCAGGTTGCACAGTGACGCAATTGAATGACACAGAATGTCCACTTGATGCCGAAATGAGCGAGATTGCTCAAGTCTCAGAGTTTCCCAGAGACGAGGAACCGACGACGATCCTAGACCTAGATAGTCAGGTTGAAGAGTCACTCGTGCGAAGTACATTGTGCACGGACTTACCAGACAAAAATCACGGCAGCTCAATGAATAGCGCCTCAATCCAAGCCAAGTCTAGCGTCCATATCCCAGAGTTATCGTCAGAGGACGATGTCCCAGTCTCAGATCGAGCACAAGTCGAGTCTGAGTCCTGCATACCAGAATCGCATATTGATTGCACACCAGTCAGACTGCCAGAGTGCCCATGTCAAGCTTCGAGCATCGAAGAGACCACATCAGCGAGGAGAGAGCTGAAGCTAAAAGAGCTAAGGCCTCCCGGCCATCGCCCAAATCCAAAGTTTTGCCCAGAATCGGTTTATTGCCACGTCGCTTCCGCTATGTCAAATAGCATCACCCAGCCCAAGGATCCTCCTAGCGAGGGGAGTGATCATATCATGTCAGTTGAGGTATTGTTGAGCGCTCCAGAGTCACCCAGCATTGACAGCCCAAAGTTGACCATGCTTGATGGCCGAACACATGCACGAGAGTCAAAGTCAAAAGAGCTCAGGCCTCCCGGCCTTCGCTATAACACAGTTGCGATGCACACAGAGTCGCAGAGTAGCCCAGAGTCAGAGACGGGTGAGCGCAAGCTCAAAGAGCTAAGGCCTCCCGGCCTTGAATGTCATCGAGTTCCATATGGCAAAGTCAACAAAATTTATCGCAGCGTTGAGCTGGCAGTCGCGAGTATATCTCAACATAAAGGCCCTCCGGTCATCTGGAGAAGTCGTAGCACGATGTTTGATGACCCACATGCGTGGTGGCCAAAGATCCACATCTCACGGTTCATGAGATTGATGACATTGTGTCAAAGCGGTTTTGATAGCCGAAGGATCCCAGAGAGATCCGAGTGTTCCAGTTGGCTAGTCATGTACACGAAAGCCTAGAGCTCACAGGCGATTTCACAAAAAGAGGCCAGAGTCATCTGACAGGGCAAAGACTTGAAGATGTCACATGTCGGCACAGGAGCAGATACCCAGAAGACTATTTATTTTGCGCAGGATTTCACACTGTTGGACCGAGGTGATTTGTTAGGAGGATTGAGGATATCGTGAGGGACCACGATAAAGAGCTAGGCCTGATGTAGGCGGGCACAGCCGGTACCACGCAAACGAGCCGATTATCGCGATTCTACCACCCATGTCAAGCACCCCACCCTCGAAACACATCTACCACTGTTCCATATACCCCTTCCACGTTTCCCATATTTTTCCCGATTTTTTCAAGCCATTCCTGACCACGGACAACCATCAGTTTCCAAATTGGGCAACTGTCACCCGCATATTCCGCCGCTCCCCCTGTATCTCCATCAATTCTCCACCGATCCGGACGAATCTGGTATCGTTGGAAAGCCCTTGTTAACACGAGTCGAACGATGTTACGAGCGACGGATTTGGTTCAGCGGTTGAGGCGATCGCCATGGTTCTTTATTTCCTTAACAACATCAATATTTCTTTGATATTGCTTTTTTCTTATTTGTTCCTTGTGGATCTGTTGCCGTCCTAAACCCGTCGGATCATTCGGATTTCCACGTATTTCTTTCATATTTATAGTTACCCTCTTTCCTGTATTTACAAAAAAAAAGGACTCCCCCCAACAGAGAGAGGTGCTCCCCAACAAACATGAAGTTCTAGCAAAGTTTACCAGCGCCCAGAGTGGCGAATACGAAGCCAAAGAGGCTCAAGACATAGTGCAGGGACAGAGTTCCCATCAGTTTGATTATCAGTGAGATTTATGAGATTATCATTTTTATCACATCGCACCCGGACCATTTCTCCTCCCCCCTCCTCACCATCCGAACCTCCCCCGAGCACTACCAACTCTGTGGCCCCCTCTCTTTCTCGTTAGGGTGGTAGATCCCTTGCCCCCCTTACACCGTCAGCAGCGAACCAATGCCGATAGGTGAATCCGCCAACCCGAAACCCATCCTAACCAGCCCCCAACCCGATGTCTGGCCCCCTGCCTTATTGCGTGAGACTGTCAGGGCACACCCGCCTGACCCTGCGCCGCACCCCGCACCGTACTGCCCTACTCCGCTTTCCCCACTATCACCCCCCGTCCCTCTTTCCTCACTTTCCCCCTTTCTCTCTATTTCTATTCTACGGTCGATTTCCCTTTTCTCCATGTACCACTATGTACCTAACCCCGCTCCCCTGATCGCCGCACGCGCCGCGCACACTCCTGCCTACTGAGCAGCCACCTCCGGGATCTCCTGCGGAGACACCCGGGGAGGTGCAGCTGTGTGCGGAGATGACATGGCTTCTCCCACGTGACCCTAACCGCATGTATATAATAGCGCCTGGGGTGGGAACAGAAGAAGCAGCCTTCTTCTCAACTTCCCACTTCAGGTAAGTACCATAGCTTTTCCCTTTTAATGATAACTCAACTTCCCACTTCAGCCCAAGTGGTCGGGGACGCTCACCCCACGACGGGACCGCCGCTACGCATAGCCGACACCTGTCCCATCGAGTCCCTCGCACTGGGACCTCACCGCTTTCGGAGCTGTCCCTGACAGAGACTGGGCCAACAATCAGAACCTAGACCCTGCCGGCATTCCGACCTTACCTCCAGTTCCCGAGCCCTTGGCGCTCCCGGCATTCAGTCCCTCCGGTTCCTATGCCAGCCTTGTCTCCATCTGAACCACACTCATTGCTTCCCACTATGTGGTCACAGCCATGCCCTGCTTCCGTGCATTCCGCACCCTCTGCCCACTCTGTGCCCTCTGCCCATCTCTGCACCCTCTGGCCACTTCTGGTTGCCCTTGACACCTCTGGCCAGGTCAACACTCCCACTCCCCTCTGTACCTCTGTTGGCCTTCATGCTGTCCTTGTGTGACAGTGCTGACAGATCAACCTCTGTTCGCGGACTTGTGTTGGCACCGCACCGACCCCACTTATTTGCGGACTTGTATCGGCGCCGCGCGCTGACCTCCGCTTTTGTCCTCTGGCCATTTTTGTCACTCGGCAACATAACATTCATTCCTTGCCGAGTGCCTATTATGTTCACCCCAATATTGGCATTTGATCTGTGTGCTATTGCACTTTCCTATTCATTCATTTAATCTGTCAATATTGGTACTTGATCCGCTTTGACTTTATTCATTCCTTGCCTCCCATTTCCCAGGTTCTTGTCCTTGGTTTAGTTTGACAAGTCCCCACTCATTTCCGCTTATTTCCGCACCGGACCGACCGGTCCCTCTTTTGATTTCTCTTATCTACTTATACCTTGTAAATACTTTTGGGGACCTCAGTCTGAAATCAACTAGAGTACCCCCCCTGTCTGGTCTGAGTCTCTCCTTCTGCAAAGGGGGCTTCCCCCCCTCTGAGTCCGTGCTCGCAGAGTCCACACTCCTCCTACAGGTCCGCTCTGCCCGCAAGTCTTGTTTGAAGTCCACTGTAAGTGTCAGTCTGTAAATATGGGATCTCCCCCAAATGTCAAGCTCAGGGCACAGCGCTCCACCTGAGTCGCTGAGGCTGCGATCCCACTCTGCTAACCTTGAACAGCGCTTCCAGACGTGCCGCATATTTCTGCCCGCATATCTGCACATGCGCTCCAACAGACCTCTGCCACAATCTCCGACCCCAACTCAGACAGAAACCCAATCCATCTTCAGTTTGTCCTCTGACAGTACTTCCGACTCTGACAATAATCCCGTCTCTGACAATATGGCACTAAGCTCGATGAGGGGCCCCTTGCACTCGGGGGTCTCGATTTCGTTCAAGGTTCCCTCTGAACCAGCGAGTCTCAGGAGGCTTCCTGACGCCAAGATCTTTCACGGCTGTGGTCCTCCAGATGGTAAGAGTTGGCCCCAGAGTTGTACGACTTGTCTCGCATATGTTAGGACTGGGCAAGGGTGGATGATTCTGGAGGGGAACCAGAGATTTAGCAAGGAGGGACCTTGGCCTCAGTGACTCATGCGGAGCACTGTGCCATTGCTGTTTGTCCATTTGGTCCTTAATTTCAGAGGCAGTGAGCAGGAAGTCTCTAGGGGGCATTTCAGGTTGATTTTAGACTGAAGGTCCAAAACGAGTATGTACAAGCGCCTGTATATAATGGAGAGACGAAAGCACAAGGAAATCAAAGGGGGTCTGAATCGGAACAAATGTGTCCAAATGGGAACAAAGGGATGACAGAAGTGGAGCAGCACCGAAGGTCATAGGTTAGAACCTGTGGTGCATCCAAAAGGAGATAGGGAGGGTGAAGCCCAGAGGGGCAGGAGGATGAGGTGAAGTGGGGATGATGACTAACTGGCTAGAATGGAGAGAAGCAGCAGTCCAAATAAGGATGAGGGGGAAACACAAAAGATACATTACAAGCGGTGAAAGTGCCAAGTATTGTTAGAATGGGGTGGAAACGGACGACTCCGGAGTGGAATCGGAGACTTAGCGTGGAGGGACCTTGGCCTCAGCGACTCAAGTGGAGCGCTGTGCCATTGCTGTTTGTCCATTTGGTCCTTAATTTCACAGTAGGTGAGCAGGAAGTCTCTAGGGGGCATTTCAGGTTGATTTTGGACTAAACCAAAACGAGTATGTACAAGCGCCGATATATATAATGGAAGGGGCAAAAGCACAAAGAGAACAAAGGGTGACCGAATCGGAACGAAGACGTCCAAACGGGAACAAAGGGTAGGGGGAGCGGAGCGGTACCGAAGGTCATAGGGCAAGACCTGTGATACGTCCGAAAGGAGGTAGGGAGGGCGAGGCCCAGAGGGGCAGGAGGATGAGGGGAAGTGGGGATGATGACTAACTGGCTAGAATAGAAAGAAGCAGTAGTCCAAATAGGGATGAAGGGAAAATGCGAGAAATACATTACAGGCGGCGAGAGCGCCGAAGGCGGTCCGCAAAGCTCGGGGGTTGCGGAGCTTACGGAGGTTACGGAGGCGGGGTTGGAAGTCCAAGGAATATTGGCAATGGTGTTTACGTAGTATGAGGTCACCAATGCAATGGACTAAGGCCGAGGTGGAGTCAAAGTCCGAGGTAGGGACTATGACGGAGGCTCGGAGTAAGGTACGAGCGGTGTCCGAGTGCGAAGTACGGAACAGCGGTGGAAGGTCGTAACTTGGTGGAAGGGTGGCGGAGGAGAGTAGTCAGGTCCGAAGGTGAGTATCGGAGCGGACGGGGGAAGCGTAGCGAGAGGTAAGGAGGAGGTGTGTTGCCAGGACTGAAGGTGAGTATCGGAACGGCAGCGGTAGGTTATGACTCCGGAGGTGAAGAGGGTGGAGGTCCGGAAGTCGGGTCGGGGTCAGGTATGCACGGATATGACAAGTATGATCCATGGAGCTCGGAGGTTGCGGAGCTTACAGAGGTTGTGGAGGCAGGGTTGAAAGTCCGAGGAATGTTGGCAATGGTGTTTATGTAGTATGAGGTCACCAATGCAATGGACTTAGGCTGAGGTGGAGTCAAAGTCCGAGGTCGGGACTAAGACAGGATCTTGGAGCAAAGGTATGAGCGGTGTCCGAGTACAGGGTATGGGAATGCAGTGGAAGGTCGTAACTTGGCAGAGGTTTGGCAGAAGAGGGTCAGAGGGAGGAGAGTGATGAGAGGAGTGGGGAGAGGAGTGGAGGAGGAATGGTGTTGGGTCTGAAGGTGAGTATTGGAGCAGGTGGAGGTAGGGTAGGAGAGGGACAGAAGGGTGGAGGTGATGTGAGGAGTGAGGAGGAGTAAGAGGAGGGTGGTGAGAGGAGTGATGTTCGGTCCAAAGGTGAATATCGGAGCAGATGGAGATAGGGTAGGACTCCAGAGGTGATGAAGATGGGGGTCCAGGAGTCGGATTGGGATTGGGTATGTACAGATATGACAGCATATGCCAGTGTGATCAATCAGGATGGTTTGCTACATGCAACCTTCTGGACTTGGGGTAAGGATTCAACCTCCTCTCCTCTCTTGGGAGTCTCTGCCAATGAGCCAGGCTCAAGGCGTTCGAGAGGGAGGATGAGGTGGACGATGCGGTTGAGGAAAGGGGAACCGGCAAGGATGATGGCATCCCAAAATTTGGCATGAACAACAAATTACCAGTTCCAGGCCATTTGGGGAAGGAGGAAAGGAATCTGGGATAGCAAGGTCGTGGATGGTGAGGTCCTTGTTCTGCAGCTCGATGTCGTCGTCGATGACCATTGGTTGGTTAGGCTGTAGTAGATGGTGATCTGTGTCGTCTTCCAACACTACATCTGAAGCTTCATTATGAGTCATGAATCGTCCCATGTCCACGTAATAGAAAGCTCTATGGTATCGCCTCCTTTCGACCAGCTTGAGAGTGGAGAGATCTTGACTGGAGGTGGGTGGTCCAGGCCACGTTAGTTTTTGCAAATAAGAGTCTTGATCCTCTGTCCCTGGTAACGGGTCTGGGAGGCCTTCCCACACAGGCCAGTTGAAGAACCATTGTGACCTTGGATCTCCAAGGTGCTGAACTATGAGAGACCGTGCCCTGGCGGCATGGTCTGGTGAGTCAAAGTGTTCCAGGTGGTTGCTCTTTTTCCGGCAACAGGCCACCCCACATGCCACATACAGTTCTCCAAAAAACCGTTTCGATGTTTGGCACTTTTCACTTGATGGGCTTATAACATTATGGAAACACATTTTAAAATTCTTATAAAATCAAGGGATATTACCTAATATCTTATCTACAGATCTGCAAATTATCTAAGCAATATGTCCATTTTTGGTAAAGTTATTTAATTTACAAGGCACCCATGTCATCGAAACGGTTTTTTGGAGTGCACCTGGCACAACCTAAAAAACAAAATATCACATGTCAAGTCATGTGACATTGTTTACTGTACACACTAGTAAACAGACTGACATCGCTGGAGCATAAATACCAAAGGATTTTGCATTATAATGCCCCCAAATCTAAAATGCAAGCCTTATCTGCTTCACAAACTGCACAAGTCCTTTCCCTCATTGATTCTGGTCACAGTGCTCGCCAGATTGCATCTACTACTGGCCATGGAGCTTCCACTATCACTTGGCTCTGGTCTCAACACCGTCCTGATGTCCCTAAGCCCAGTGGTGGGCGTCCACGCAAGCTGTCAGGGACTGACATTCACCATGCCCAATGCCTCATTAACTCTGGCAAGGCTGACAACTCTTCCCAAGTCACCCAAATGCTCCGAAAAATTACCAACAAGAGCCTCTCACCTGAGACTGTCCGCCTGCACTTGAAGGAAGCTGGTTGGAAAGCAGTGGTGAAGAAGAAGCGGCCTATGCTGAGCAGGAAGCATAGAAAAAACAGAATGGACTTTGCAATCAGCCACAAGGAGTGGACTCTGGAGGACTGGAAGAGAGTGGTGTGGTCAGATGAGACCAAGGTTAATCGCCTGGGCTCAGATGGGAGGAAATGGGTGTGGAAGAGGGTGGGTGAGCCTCTCAGTGACAGGCTGGTGCAAGGGACCAAAAAGTTTGGTGGTGGATCAGTCATGGTGTGGGTATGTATGATGTGGGATGGGGTTGGGATGGCATGCAAGATTGATGGGAGGATGGATGGGGAGCTTTACTGCCAAATCCTGGATGATGAACTCCAACAAACCCTATCATATTATGGCAAGAACCCTGCCCATGTCCTCTTCCAACAGGACAATGATCCCAAACATACCAGCAAAAGGGCCCATAACTGGTTCAACAATCATGGTATTAGGGTCATGGAGTGGCCCTCCCAGTCCCCAGACCTCAATCCAATTGAACACTTATGGAATCATGTGAAAAGGAAGCTTGGGGAGTATGAAGAACCTCCAAATAGTGTTCATGAGCTGTGGGATCGGTTTCAAGAGGAATGGGACAAGATAGAGCCAAGGATTTGTCAGAATTTGATTGAAAGTATGCCTAGGAGAATTGAGGCAGTGATTAAGGCAAAGGGTGGCTATACCAAATATTAATAAATGCTATTTTCTTCTCCCAAAAATCAACTCCAAAAAACCATTTCGATGACATGGGCACCTTTTAAATCAAATAACTTTACCAAAAATAAATATATTGCTTAGATAATTTGTATATCTGTAGATGAGATAGCAAGTAATATTCCATGATTTTATGGGAATTTTAGAACATGTTTCCATAATACTATAAGCCCATCAAGTGAAAAGTGCCAAACATCGAAACGGTTTTTTGGAGAACTGTACAGTGTTAGCTTGAGCAATTCCAACATGGTCTGATCGTCAATGGTGTCATATCCATCCACAGCCATCTACCTCTGCTTGCGCCTCCGAATCTTGGACTGCATCCTGAAAACATCAATTTTGTCCCATATCTCCTAGTATCGAGCTTGGGGCCAGAACCCATAATAGTTTTGCGACAATTACAGACTCAGTGGGCTCTTTGGATCGTATTCTCTATCTTATCAGATCCTGATGCTTTACAGTGGTATACCACATGCATTCGAGAGGCCAATTTAGTAGAGAAATGGGGGGTAGTGAAATTTGTCCACTAGGTGGAAGGGTGAACTGAGTGGATGCAAAGGGGGCATAGCATTGGCCATGGAATAAGACGATATTTGTCACCAAGGAAGCTATAGGTTTCCACATGGATAAAGTCGTTTATAGTTGGATCGGCTTGAATAGACATTGATATAGTATGAATGGATGGTGTTAAAACAGGTTCTGCCAACTAACCCAGGAGGACATTCGCCCTCAATCCGAGGTGCAAGTGGGCACACAAATTTGATGCACTTAAGTTCAATGACACCAGATTGACACTGACCATGCATATCGGCTTCTTGATGGACCATGAAGAGCTGGGTGTTGCGATCTGGGATGGGGGGAATCTTTGAGTACCACAGTAGGAGTGCGAAAATGGTGGCATCATGGTCTATCCTCTCCTTGGATCATCTTCCCCGGAATATAGTGCAAAGTTCCGCTGGACAGTAGCCTGGATGGTAGAAGACTCTAAGTATCAGAAGATCTGCCAAGCATGTCACTCATGATGAATTCCATGTGCATTCTCATCCATCAGCACCATGACAGGTGTGTGATGAGGATCGTTTCCCACAGCCAGCGGAGGTCTGGCATAAATTGTAACTTGCTCTTCCTCTGCAAACTTGTCATAAGGTCTATCTGTCGAAATGAATACCAAATATCAATGAACTCGTATGACTCCAGAACGGACAAGTCATTGTATATCCATCAGGGCCCGTTCTGAGATCCATCAGCTCCACTATCCAACATCCAATGTATAGCGGAAACAAAGTTGGGCACCCTGCACAATTCTGAGACCTTGGAAATTGGAATACACTTAGAATGTGGCTCTAACACAACCTTAACCCCACTGTCAGCTAGAATGGCTACAGACCTAAGTCAGTAATGAATGGCAATATGATATGGGCATACCACGTGAAAGTGGAAACCCTCAGCAAGGGATGTTCCCTCACAGGGTTCTGGAGCCAACCCTGACACTGGATCACCGCTCTCCTTGCCATCTCCTTCTGTGCATGGCAGCAATTGCTCCAACTCCTGTGTGACCTAGAATATTAAAAGTCAAGATCAATATCTTAGCGAGGAGATGTCTGTACTCCTGGCTTCTGGAATAATTTCCATTCTGTATATAGTGTTTGGAGAGCCACCTTCTCTTGAACCTTGAGAAAGTTGACTATTTGTTGCCCATAGTCACGCTTGTTAGACATGCGATACGGTTCCTTGCACATTTTAATATGCTGAGTCTCTGGAGTTTCCATTGAGAAGTTGTTGGGGGTGCCTTTGCGATGTGTATCATCTATAAAATGTGGAAGGGCATGTAATTTAGGGATATTCATATGCCCCTGTTCCCAAGAACCATTTTGAATGAAGGCACTCTTGTACCGATGGAAACACTCTAGGCTCTTCTTCATGAATAGCAGGTCAGTCTCAGATATGACAGGAGACCACACAACAAAGATGTAATCCAGCAATAGGGGGTTTCACAATGAGCTAAAGTGGTCCTAAACTGGGATGTAAACTAGACTTAAAGTGACCCGAGTTGAGGGACAGTTAAGAGTTCAGTTTAGATGGGAGTTGAGAAGCATTCACGATGGACTGTCCCAAACTAGTCCCAAACCCACCCAACACTTGAGGCCACAGCTGGCTCCATATCACCGACACCACATGGCTCTAAATGGATTATGTAGCTCATCGCTGCTGCCATCCAACATGCTGAACTCATTCAAAGGCCAACGATGCCGACTCTTTGGTGGCATGTGGAAACTATTTCTGCACACTGGGCCCCTGGTATATCAAGCATCGGCACTTTGGAGTAGGGTGAGAGTGATCTCCCTGTTGGATTATGAGTCACCAGCTGCTTCAGCGATTCCACCTCCATTGTAATCTGGTCTCTCCAATGCATCTGTGCACTATCCAACCCTTTGCATGGTATCATATATACACCTAATAATATTTGTCACTTATGGCCACTGCCCTTTGCAGTCCCACTTAAGTCCCCCACTATAGTGCGAGTGTAGCTGCTGAGCGCTAACACCTTACCAGGCTAGTCATAGCAACACTCCCTGAACCCACTTTGGAGGCACAAGTTATGGTGATGCAATAGCTCAAATTCACAGTCAGTAGCTAAGTTGATGGCATGATGTGGTGAGACTAATTCAGTGAAGGATCTGTACAGTTATCCGAACAGACATATGTATACTAAGCCCTAGTTTGGGATTTGAGTTTGGACTACTCTAAAGTACAGCTTCAGCCTTCAGAGGCCTGTTTTCGAATTTAGCTAAACTGACAGTTTAGAACCAGTTCTGTCCAGTTTAGGTGCACTTTAGGCTAGTTTAGCCCATCGTGAAACCCCCTAATGAACGGACCACTTTCAAAATTGCTGGTGTGACCGCATCATGCCCTGCAATCACAACAACAGCGATGCTTTGAAAAGCCTTAAACTTGTCCCAATGCCTGAGTTATACATGAGAGTCCATTGGGAAAATGTGGTGCACAATTCTCTGGAGGTTGGGCGATTAGACATTGGTGTTAGATCGGGTGGATTCAGACGACTCCGGAATGGAATCAGAGACTTAGCGTGGGAGGACCTTGGCCTCAGCAACTCATGCAGAGTGCTGTGCCATTGCTGGTTGTCCTGGGGGTCCCTAATTTCGGATCTAGCAGAGGGAAAGTCTCTTGGGGGGAAATCAAGTCAATTTTGGACTGAGGTTACAAGTTACTAAGTACATTGTATATAAGGAGGGGTCCGGAATCAAAAGGAGCAAGGGTACTCTGAAAGGAGACAAAGGGAGCTGGAAGGAGGAACAACACCGAGGGTCAAGGGTTTGACTCAATGGTGTTTCCCAAAGGAGGAGTGAAGGGCCAAGGCCCAAGGAGGAAGGAAGGAGGATGGGAGTGGGGAATGGCTAGCTGACTGAATAGAAAGGAAGCAGCAGCCCAAATAGGAATGAGGGAGAATAGCGGAATTGAATGGAGCAATGCAATAGTTGCAAGGTCTGAAGTAAGTCCTGAAAGTCCGAACTCAGAAGTTAAACTCCAGAATATTGGCAAAGGTAATTAAATGGAATGAACTAACCAGTACAATGGGTATAAGTGGAGGTGGGGTCAAAGTCTGAGGTTGAAGCTAAGACCAGAGGTTCTGGAGACTGGGACACAAATGGGATTCCAGAGCAGAGGTCCGGAGTTGGGAGCATAGGTGTTGCATGCTTGTCTGGGAGGTGTTGAGGTTGAGGTCAGACCCGGAATGTTCCAGAGTCAGACCGAAGGTGGTGTTGGAGCCGGAGGTGGGATAACCTCTTGGGAGTCGGCAAGGAGAAGGTGACAGAAGGGAAGTAGGGCTCCAGAAGTCAGTTTTGGAGTTCCGGGAGCCCAGAGTGGAGGTCAGGATTGTATGGATATGACAGTCGGTCCAACTCTGCAACACCTAATGTTGATGTAAACCACGAGACAACATGATCCCAAAAGAATTTGTAGCAGCCATGCAACAAGTCTTGACTGATGAAGTGCAAAGGACACTGTTCAAAATCCTTCCAAAAAGGTGACTCAGTGGAGCCACTCAACCCAAGATTAAGCTTCTTTGCATCTCAGGAGAACTCAAAGGTGGAAGTGTGAGGATTTTCCCTGCAATTGTCTTAGTGAGTCAAGAATCCAGTTGCACATGTGTGCCAGGTGCTCTGTGTACACCTGTCATATCCGTACAACTCCAGACCTCCGCTCCTGTTTCTGGACCTCCATCTCCTCCTCCAGAACTCCACATCCTCCACCACCTCCTCCCCCTGTTGGTTGTTGAGAGCCCACTCTACCTCTGGCTCCAACACAATGTCCAACATTACCTCCGGTCCAACTCCGGTTTACTCCAGGTCTGATCCCAACCTTGTACCTTCCAGACCAGAGTTTGCAATGCTCCATACCTCTGGCTCCGGACTCCTGTACCGGAACCCCATTGCACCTCCACCTCCGGAACTCTGGTCACATCTCCACCTCCAGACTTTGACCTCCTCCTCCATCTTATCTCCTTGTATTCCTTATTGCATTTCATTTATTATGTCTAGCCAATATTCCAGACTTTGACTTCTGACTCCGGACCTCTGGAACTTACTCCAGACCCTGCAGTCTCTACTGTATGGTGTCATTTAATCCTCTTGTTGCCTCTTCCTTATTTAGACAGCTGCTTCCTTTCCATATTAGTCAGCTGTCATTCCCCACAACCCCCCTCCACTCCTTCCCCTCTTGGCCTTGGCTTTTGGGAAGCACCATAGAGTTCCAACCCTTGGCCCTTGGGGTTGTTCCCTCTTCCAGTCCCCCTTTGTCTCCTTCCAGTTCCCTTTGTTCCCTTTGGGTCCTCTGACTCCACTCCTGTATTATTATATATACACTCTGTACTTGGTTTCCTGTACCCCAGTCTGAAATCGACGACGATGACAATGACAATGGGATTGTCCCCCAAAGAGACTCCCCCTGCTAACCTGAAGTTAAGGACCACCTTAGACAACAAGCAACGGCACAGCGCTCCACTTGAGTTGCTGAGGCCATGGTCCTTCCACTCCTGAATCCCTTCTCCGCTTCCGGACAACTCTGCACGCTCATCTAACAACACCTCTTGGGACTGATGTGGGACTAAGCACACTGAACAGTGCCCCACCTGTGTTATAGTGATCATTTGTTGCTCTTCAAGATCAGCCAAGTGTGACATCAGGATTGCCATGCATGTGTGCACCAGGCCATCAGGACCAGTCATCAATCTGGGTACTTGCTGAACGGTGAGAAGGGGAGCCAATGTAATTTCCATGCAGCGATGAAACATCTTTTGTTGTACTATTCCAGGCATGTGTGCAGCTTCTTCGAGTGTTCCACCCAATGTGTCAAACGTTGTCTGGGCAACTTTGCATACTGGTAGCTTTGCAAGCAACATCCAGGCACAGCAATTAATCTTTCAGCAGACATCCTTATGGATATTTGAGGTACTATCAAAAAGTGTAATCCACTTCATGAACCTTCATGCTTATATACAATATTTATATTGAAATCATTAATTTTCAACCCAAAAAGTCAATTTTTTTTGGCAAGCATGAACCTTCATGAAATTTTATGCTGTTTCATGAAACTTCATGAAGGTTCATGAATGCTGACTTCATGAAGAGTCATGAAGCCATGCATCATGCAGAACCATGAATGTCCATGCATGGTCATGTATGGTCATGACTCTTCACAGGAATTCATGAGCATGCCCAAAAATTCCCATACCTGCACATGCTCATGACCCTTCATGAGTATTCCTAACTCTCCATGAATGTTCCTGACTCTTCATGGAGAGTCATGACTGAGCAGCACATGGCTTGAGTGTGCAAGGTGCAACCAAATTTCCCCCCATTTGTCTCTCCTTCAATTCTCCATCAGATGCTACATGGTAGGTACCATTTTTGTCACATGAATTAAGGCTTTTTTCTGTATCTCATTGTGATGCAATAGTCCCAGATTATATGAAGGAATTTGGATGAGCTGGTTATATGTGCACTTATTCTGCTTACTGTGCTCTCAAAAATACTTTGGGTTACATGAAACACTTGATTTCTCTCAAATTATTGGCAGTTTTGATTGCCAAAATCCATGTGTCATATCCATCCACAGCCATCACCTTCCACCACCTCCAGTCCCTCTGGATTGCCTCTGCTCCTTTGTCACTAACCTCAGAGCCCCTGGATTCTGCAATCCCCTCCGACTCCCCCGATGGTCACCACCCCCTCATTTCAATATATTACCTATGCCTCCCTAAGTACAGAACCCTGAAGGTCTCTGGACAGCTCCGACGTCTGCAAACACACCCCCACCTCCACTGGGTAATTTAGTTGCCTGCCCTGAAAGTCTACCTTTGGACCAATCCCTCCATTCCACTTCTGGGTCATAACCCATCCATCCATTAAACCCTGTAACCCAAGTCATCAGTAATATTCAGTCGGCTAACCTGTAACTCCATTAGGTCTGCTCTGCCTGGCCCCTGCCATTTACAGGCCTGCCATCTAGACTCCCTCTGTAACTATATATACCTAACCTGTAGATACATTACACTTCAGTGATAAAATCAACTAGGGTTTTCCCCCTCTTCTAGAGTTCCCTCTCAGTCCATAAATTAGGGCACCAACATGTTACTAGGCACAGTGCTCCTGACACAAGTTGCTGAGGCCAAAGCCCTCTGTTCACAGGAATGTCTCTGTTTGTCCTGAATCTGGTCTCTGACACCATGCACCCAGGGTGAGCCTCATTGTGACTGTGATTGTGGCTCTATTTGTTAGAAGGTGGCAGATTTGGGTTCCAGAAGTGGAATGGAGACTTAATACATGAGGACCTTGGCCTCAGCAACTCAGGTGGAGTGCTGTGCCACTACTGTTTTGTCATTAATTTTGGAGCTAACATATAAGGAGGGTCAGAGAAAACAAAGGGGGCTTTGAATTGGGACAAGGGAGACAAAGGGTCTAAGAAAAGGAACAACATCAAGGGTCAAGGGTTTGACTCAATGGTGCATCTGAGAGGGGGTAAAGAGGGTGCAGGCCTGGAGGAGCAGGAGGAGGGGTGGGAGTGGGGTGTATGGCTCTAACTGGCTGAATGAAAAGAAGCAGTTGCCCAAATAGGAGTAAGGGAGAAAGATGAGAGTGAATGGGACAATGCAGTAAACTGTGGGGTCCATGGTGCATCTGTGAGGTCCAGGGGTAACAGAGGTTACAGAGGCAGAGTTGGAAGTCCAAAAGGATATTGGGAAAGGTGATTGAATGAAATGAGGTCACCTATGCAGTGGACTTAAGTGGAGGTGAGGTCAAAGTCTGAGGTCAGGGTTAAGACATAAATCTTGGAGACAGAGGTACAGCATGGTGTCTGAGGTCAGGGTATGGAGACAGAACAGAAGGTAGTACCTTAGTGGAGAAGTGGGGTGGGAGTTGGGAGATGGAAGGTGATGTCAGGTCAGAGGTAGAGTAGACTCTTGGAGGCTGGCCAGTGGGTGAAGTGGGACTCTGGAGTTGGTGTGGGAGTTGGGTCAGATCAGGTATGTATGGATATGACACTATTCTTCTTCATGGAAAGTGATGCACATTCATGAACATTCATAAGAAGGCATGGGGGTGCATAATGTGTCCTGTCAATTTCCAACTTGGACTGGTTATGAAGGTTCATGAAAACTTTCATGAGACTGCATGACTGTGTATCCTGCATGAACCCTCATGAATCTTCATGAATTTCTGTGCAGTTTCACAAAACTGCATGAATTCATGACCCTTCATGACTTGGGATTACACTTTTTTGCAGTTACTGGGATATTCCCTAGAGATATATAGAGTGGATGCATGCGTTGATCACCAGTGAAATTTGTCAGATGTGTTTTGTCTGAAGCAAGCATCACACTGAGAATAGTGGTGCCATCAGGGAGACGAGCCTTATTGTCATAAATTAGTACTAACTTTTACATGTTCAGATGTGTGCCCACCTGCTGTTCATGCCAGTCATCCCCCATAGCCATCTCATGATAGACCCTTACATCACCCTCAGCTGTGAAGACCTTGTATGGAAGTCCATTTCACCATCAAAACTCGGGTTCTGGAACAGAAATTCCAAGCATTCGATCAGGTTTCAACACCACCACTCCTGTGGTTCTAAGGGTGCGTCATCCATAACGATTGTCTCCTCGTGCCATCCTAGCACTCCTAGCATAGACTTTACTTTCCCATACATTGTATTGGCTGACCCAAAGCTGAAAGGCCGATCTTGGACCTATTACAAATAGTCACTGTAAGCAATTTCTTTAATCATGAAGCCCAACATACATATTTAAGGTTCAAGAACTTGTTGATCGCTCCTTTTGAGATTCCCATCGTGCTCAACCACCTCACTACCTCCCACTCACCTTCACTATCCCATGGCCACCACTCATTTCCTACACTCTCCATTTTTTGTAGTCGATCCCATAGTGTGATAGAAGAGAAAGGGAAGGTCCAGCCAGTGCACATGTCTACTGTACTATAACAACCATAGGTTCAGTCACATGTCACATGAGATTTTTGAACTGAACTAAAAGAGGTTCTGTCACATGTCACATTGGGACTTTGAACTAACGAAGCAGGATGTCCCTGCAAATCAAGTTAGCAATCAAGATATTATTGTCTATGAACGCTACCACCCTTCCCACCATCTATTTCATGCCACCAAATCAACAGGTTTCCTCAATCTTCCCCCTCGACGTGCTGGCTCCGAATCCCAGTTTGATTCCTGATTACAAGGTGCTCTGTTGCTGTTATAATCATCCGAATCACTGGATCCTTGTTTAAGCTCACTCATTCCATCTTCAACCACACTGAAGTGGTCACCCATAGCATTGGCATCGGCCTCAGGAAAGTCATTATCTAGCTCATTTGCAAGTGTAGGCCATGGCTGAAGGATTTGGGTGCCAGGTTGAAGCATAAGACCCTCGCAAACCTCCCCTGTGAGAGTATGTGTAAGTGCGGTGTCTGTCATATCCGTACATACTGGATCCCAAACCGACTCCCGGACCCCCATCTTCCCCACCTCCAGAGTCCTACCCTACCGCTGTCCATTCCGATATTCACCCTCGGACCCGACACCACACCTCCCCTCACCCCTCATGCCACCTCCACCCTCCTGTCCTTCTCCTACCCTATCTCCGTCCGCTCCGATACTCATCTCAGACCGAACATCACCCCTCTCACTCCTCCTCCTACTCCTCCTCACGACACCTCCACCCTTCCGTCACTCTCCTACTCTCCGATTCCACTCCGGAGTCGTCCGAATCCACCTGTTCTAACAGTGTCGAAGGGAAGTTTGTTGACATCAGGTGGGAATGGGGGCTCATCCAATTGTGTGTCATCTGCACGCTGAGTGCGGTTGCATGGTGCTATTGGAGCTGATCAAGGTTTTGAGAACTTGGAAAAGAGCAGTGGGTTGTCGATTGTTAGAACGGGCGGAAACAGACGACTCCGGAGTGGAATCGGAGACTTAGCGTGGAGGGACCTTGGCCTCAGCGACTCAAGCGGAGCGCTGTGCCATTGCTGTTTGTCCATTTGGTCCTTAATTTCACAGTAGGTGAGCAGGAAGTCTCTAGGGGGCATTTCAGGTCGATTTCGGACTGAACCAAAATGAGTATGTACAAGCGCCGATATATATAATGGAGGGGGCAAAAGCACAAGGAAAACAAAGGGTACCGAATCGGAACGAAGACGTCCGAACGGGAACAAAGGGTAGAAGAAGCGGAGCGGTACCAAAGGTCATAAGGCAGGACCTGTGATACGTCCGAAAGGAGGTAGGGAGGGCGAGGCCCAGAGGGGCAGGAGGATGAGGAGAAGTGGGGATGATGACTAACTGGCTAGAATGGGAAGAAGCAGTAGTCCAAATAGGGATGAGGGGTAAACGCGAGAAATACATTACAATTGGCGAGAGTGCCGAAGGCGATCCGCGAACCTCAGGGGTTGTGGAGGTTACGGAGGTTACGGAGGCAGGGTTGAAAGTCCGAGGGATATTGGCAATGGTGTTTACGTAGTATGAGGTCACCAATGCAATGGACTAAGACCGAGGTGGAGTCAAAGTCCGAGGTAGGGACTGTGACGGAGGCTCAGGGCAAAGGTACGAGCAGTGTCTGAGTACGAAGTATGGGACAGCAGTGGAAGGTCGTAACTTGGCAGGAGGGTGGCGGAGGAGTACCAGAGGGAGGAGAGAGGGGAAAGGTAAGGGAGGAGGAGTGGCAGAAAGGAGAGTTGTCAGGTCCGAAGGTGAGTATCGGAGCGGACGGGGGAAGCGTAGGAGGGTGACAGGAGGGTGGAGGTGTTGTGAAGGAGGAGCGGAGTAGGAGGAGGAGGAGTAGTAGGAGGGTGGCGAGAGGGGCGGCGTTCGGTCCGAGGTGAGTATCGGAGCGGACGGAGATAGGGGAGGAGAGGGAAGGAGGAGCAGAGGTGGCGTGGGGGGTGAGAGGAGGTGTGTTGCCAGGACCGGAGGTGAGTATCGGAACGGCAGCGGTAGGGTAGGACTCCGGAGGTGAAGAGGGTGGAGGTCTGGAAGTCGGGTTGGGGTCGGGTATGCACAGATATGACAGTCGATGTGGAGAGTCCTCAGGATGTCAAGCATGGCAGGGTGTCAGGGACAGCTCCGAAAGCGGCGAGGTCCCAGCGTGAGGGACTCGATGGGACAGGTGTCGGCTATGCGTAGCGACGGTCCCGTTGCAGGGTGAGCGTCCCTGACCACTGAAGTGGGAAGTTGGTTATCATTAAAAAGGGGGAAGCTACAGTACTTACCTGAAGTGGGAAGTTGAGAAGAAGGCTGCTTCTTCTGTTCCCACCCCAGGTGCTATTATATACATGCGGTCAGGGTCACGTGGGAGGAGCCACGTCATCCCCGCACACAGCCGCACTCCCCTGGGTATCTCCGTGGGAGATCCCGGAGGTGTGCCGCTCTGTGAGCGGGAATGCGCGCGGCGGGCGCGGCGATCAGGGGAGCGGGGTTAGGTGTGTTAGTAATACATAGAGAAGGGGAAGTCGACCATAGAAGGAAATAGAAAGAAAGAAGGAAAAGGGGAAAGAAGAGACAAAGGGTGATAGCGGGGAAGTGGAGTAGGGCGGCGCGGCGTGGGGTCAGGTGGGGTGTGCCCTGACACAGGGCTTGTGAGGCTGGAATGTGATAGACTGAATTCACCAGATTGCGCTTTCTCGAAGGCCTGATAGGAGGAATGAGTGGCAGTTGCACATGAGTCAGTTTGCAAAGCACTCATACCTTAAGTACGATGTGAGGCTTGTTTACTTCATGGAAAGCCTTGATGTGAACCATCCATTGGCGCAATTCTGGAAGGCCATTCTCCACTGCAACAACATCCCTCCTCTCTTCAAGCTGCTTGAGGACATCATTAATTGTGTCAACATGGTGCTCTCAATTGACAGCAAGCTTGAATGCCCATTGAATAACAAGGTCGCAAGGTTGAAAGAGGCCAGTGCAACCTCTGGGGACGTAATCGAGAATAATCCAAGGGAATTGGCTATAAAGCCATTCATGAAATTCCCGAGATGTATGGACAGCCCATACATCAAGTTGCCAGATACAGTGGTAATCCTCAGGAAGCATGAGTCTTCTCATCTGTTGACAGAAGTATGGCACTAAAATGTCTTCAACATATTGCTTCATTGTCTCAATAGTTGCCCAATAGGTGTCTGTGTTCGAGATGACAAAGCAAAACCCCAATTCCCTAGCTTCATTATAGTAGGGAGATGATGGAAGGGGGAGGGATTTGGCAGTGTGGCCATGGAAAATAGCCTGAAGCGGCAGCAGCATACCACTTGCCGAGATCGCAATGTTCACCGTGATTGTGCGCTTCTCCTCCTTTCCAAAAACTGAGACTTGCTTTGCCCCAATATCATTCCATGTTGATGTCTTTGGATCAGAGTAAACAACTTGAGTTTGATCAGAGTTGACACGAAGTTCAGCGGGTATGTTGTATGAGTGTCAGGGGATGACTCCCGGGTCCCCATGACCCTTCCCCAATGGCCCACAGCCTCAGGTCTGGCCAGCCCTATCCAGGGCACAATCTACTGTGGGTAAGAAGATGAGAAGGAAGCTAACTTCTCATCTTCCCACAGTGGCCACCATATCAGGAAAACTTCCGGGGATACCCGGAAGTCACATGAAGGAGTAGGAACCGGGCCCGGAGCATGCGGTGTGCGGAGCGTGCACGCATGCGGAAAGCGCAGCGGGTGGAAGCGGGTCCGGACGCGGGTCCGGGTCCGGGCTAGTCAGGGTGTGTGCCCTGACAATGAGTGGATTGACCATGCTTGGCGAAGAAGTGAATTGTGAATAAGTGTTAGATCGGGCTGATTCAGACGACTCCGGAATGGAATCGGAGACTTAGCGTGGAAGGACCTTGGCCTCAGCGACTCATGCAGAGTGCTGTGCCATTGCTGGTTGTCCTAGGGGTCCCTAATTTCGGATCTAGCAGAGGGGAAGTCTCTTGGGGGGAAATCAAGTTGATTTCGGACTGAGGTTACAAGTTACTATGTACATTGTATATGAGGAGGGGTCCGGAATCAAAAGGGACAAGGGTACTCTGAAAGGAGACAAAGGGAGCTGGAAGGAGGAACAACACTGAGGGTCAAGGGTTTCACTCAATGGTGTTTCCCAAAGGAGGAGTGAAGGGCCAAGGCCCAAGGAGGAAGGAAGGAGGATGGGAGTGGGGAATGGCCAGCTGACTGAATAGAAAGGAAGCAGCAGCCCAAATAGGAATGAGGGAGAATAGCGGAATTGAATAGGACAATGCAATAGTTGCAAGGTCCGAGGTAAGTCCGGAAAGTCCGAACTCGGAAGTTAAACTCTGGAATATTGGCAAACGTAATTAAATGGAATGAGCTAACCAATACAATGGGTATAAGCAGAGGTGGGGTCAAAGTCCGAGGTTGGAGCTAAGACCGGAGGTTCCGGAGACAGAGACACAAACAGGATTCCGGAGCGGAGGTCTGGAGTTGGGAGCATAGGTGTTGCATGCTCATCTGGGAGGTGTCGAGGTTGAGGTCGGACCTGGAATGTTCTGGAGTCGGACCGAAGGTGGTGTCAGAGCTGGAGGTGGGATAACCTCTTGGGAGTCGGCAAGGAGAAGGTGACGGAAGGGAAGTAGGGCTCCAGAGTCAGTTTCGGAGTTCCGGGAACCCGGAGCGGAGGTCAGGATTGTATGGATATGACAATAAGAACTTGAGCATCACTTGGGGCTTTTTGTGAGGCCTGGGTAGGCCTCCGATAGCTCCAACCCACAGTATTGTGGAGAAACTTCAAGACCCACCCTTCAGTTGCACAAAAGACACTTCTATCCTTAAACTTCTTCTTGAATATAGAAGGGTCACAGAACTGAATTGTAGCAATGATCAGACAGCGTGCATCACTAAGAGATACTGCAGTGCCTATCTGTCTCAAGCCCTTAAGTTTTTGAGTAATCTCAGCGGTGATTTCGGGTAGCCATCCTTGAGAGAGGGGAACTTAGTATGAAAAAACTATTGTGATAACTAGCATGAATTACATACCAAAATCCCCCACCAAGTTGTTTTACCACCTGGAGAATCTCGTTGTGCTGCCTTCCTCAAAGCATCCTCATTCCACCCTTTCCCTTTGATGATATGTCTCCCAATTACTTGAGAAGTGAGCTTCTTGAAGAGTGAAGGTGAGGTATGTTGTGCCTGCTGTACAATTTTCGATGGGTTTGCCCAATGAACTTTCTTTGCAGCCTCTGTTAGAAGTAAAAAGAATGTAGGGCCCCACCAATAGGTCCGTACAGCAGCCTTGACCTCTTTTGTCTGTTTCCATCCACTTCGGTGAGGTTCCTTCACCTTATGTAACTCGTGTTTGATGACTGCCAATCCACGCTCAGCACAAGAAATTTGAGCAACATTCAACTGAGTAGAATGTGACTCTGGGTCTGTCATGGTGTCTGGAGTGTCAGTTTGATGCTGTTCACAATAACTTCATGTGAAAAAAATAGTAATCAGCTGAATAGCTAACAACATACCCTTTTCCCACTGTCCTTCCTTGACTCCCCATCAAATGTCCGCTTCCTAGCACGATAATTGGCTTGTTGTACACGATCATATTCCCTCCGATCAGCCGCAACCATCACTGCCCTCAACTTCACAGCTTCGGCCCTGGAGTCCCGGGATTCATGTAGCTCTTCAAATTGGTGCTTTGTCTGAAGAACCTTTTGCTCCGGGGTTATTTGGGGGAAAAAACTGAGTAGCCCTTCACCATCCACCATGCTGGAGATGTCTGGACAGAGATCCAGCTTTAACTTCATCACCTTCTCAATATTTGGAATGATTTCCTTCAGAGCCTTAGCTGCAGCCCCTAGTGCTTTGGGAGATGAGGGTGGTGTCGGGGCAGGGGCAAAGGGAAGCAGGGACCCTAACAATGTGGGAGAGGTAGGCAGAAGAGACAATGTCATGGAGGGTACCAATAGTGATAGTGTCCGTTCGACCATGCCATCAACTGATGCACCAGTCTGGATAGTCAATACATTAATGCATGAACAGTAAGAGATCAACTGAAAAGCTTACATTAAGCAAGTGGTGGTTCAGAACCTGCATAAAAGCAAATAAACAGAGGCGAAATTGCGAAGTTGATAGGTACTTGATTTCTGGTCGAAATATGCTGTTGAGCACATTCTGTGCATGTAGACCACATGAAGAAACGTCATCTTGATGCGTAGTCGGAATTGAAACAGTTTCAACAGACCCCGCAGCAAAGGGAGGATACATAAGCTACTGGGAAAGAGCATTAATGAGTGGAACTGCACAGATAGGGACCTTATGGGCAGTTGTTGGATGAAACAATGAGTCCCCAACTCGGATGGTCTTCGATCTACCTTCTATGACAATAGCGATCCAGTGATTTTGATTGACAAATGCAATCTGTCAGAGACCAGACTTGAGACGAAGGAATGTCTCCGTAACGGAGGGCTTTGGCCTCAGCGACTTCTGCCAAGAGCGCTGTGCCTAGTGACACGTCCGTGCCCTAACTTACTGACTGGCACTTAGAACCTAGGGGGGTAACTCTAGTTGATTTATCTGCTGGGGCGTAACCTATGTACAAGTGGTGTATATATATGGTTACAGCGGAGACGGTTCCGCAATTGGTGGAGCCGAACGGAGCGGAGCTAACGGGGTTAAGACATTAGCCGACTGAATATTACCGACGAGTCGGTTCGCGGGGTTAGCGGAAAGGCAGGCGTTAACCCAGAAACGGAAAGGAGGGATAGGCCCGAAGGTGGGCTCTGCAGGGCAGGTGAGTGTATTGCCCAGCGGAGGCGGGAGTGCGCTAGCGGACGTCGGAGCTGTCCGGAAGTCTTCGGGGCTCCGTACTTAGGGAGGTGTAGGTAATAAATTGAAGTGAGGGGGTGGTGACCATCGAGGGGTACCGAGAGGTTTGCGGAATACGGGGGCTCCGAGGTTGGCGAGGGGGAGCGGAGTTAGAACGGAGGGATCGGAGAGACCGGAAGTCGATGGCCGGGGATGGATATGACACAATCCCAATAAGTGTCTCCAATGTCCCATCTGCTAATTGTGCTGCACAGTCTCGCATAAAACGGTAAGATCGAGAGCCATACACTTTTGGAGGCAAATTCTCTTCACCAAAAAATTCACGGACTCAATCAAAAAAGTTGGGGACGCAACGTGGATGGCAGTGCGAGTTATTTCAGGTTCTCCACGAAGAATTGAGCAGTACCGCTCATGGTCAGTGTCATTCAGACATGCATGTGACACAATCCGTACCAGCGAGCTCATCCCCAGCATGTCCCTGAAGCCATGAACACATTCGGACCATGTGGTCATCACAAGCAACGAGTGGAAATTTTCTTTCAACTCAAGCAATAAGGCCTCTCGATGCAGGCCATCGGTCAGCCACTTGAAGGCAGTATGCCATAGGTCCTGGAGATCCTGCACCAATAGTATGGATTGCAGGACTGGAGCTAAGTTCAGCGGATATGGGGTGTCATTGATGGCGATAGATTGGCTACCAGGAGGTGGACTCAGAGCAAGAAAATGCCTGATAGAGTATAGTGGAGGCCATCGCAGAGACTCGACCACTTTAAGGTCAAGGAGAGTGATAGGAATGTAGGAAGTGTAGGTGAGATGGGTCTGCGTGTCCTCGAGTGGCAATTGTGGAAGGGAAAATTCGAGAAAAGACATCACAGAGAGATGTGAGTCAGGCAAGAGAGTCCCGATAAGGGACAGTGGAACATCCTTGAAATTACAAGGTTTTGTTGTGAGCGCTTCAATGTAGCTAGCAAAAGCAAAGGGATCCATGGACATCACCTAAGCGTACCTGTAGATATTCTCCACCTATTTATCATCGAAACACGATTCTCCATCCTAGACTTAGCTGGTAGACACCACACCAGGACACCAGAAAAGGTCTAATGAGATGGCAACCTTGAATACTTAGACCTTGAACTTTGGGCAGTGAATGTCACATGTCACATGCATAGATCAACTAAGCCAGCAGGACACGGCAATCCCGAAAACCGTGGGAATGAACCTATGGTCATTATAGTACAGTATTTGGAATCCAATTCACTATCGGAATGGGAGACAGAAATCCATCGAAGACACAAAAGGCGGGAAGCATGTCCAGTGAATGTGGCAAGTTCGCACAATTGGCTGGGTTGAGAGGATTGATCTTTGTCATCTGCCTCCCTTGCGAGGCGCACAAGTTTAATGGGATACCAATAAAGTATCCACATGGCTGCTAAGTGGGTTATGGAGGAGTAGGGTGTGTGACCAATCCCAGTGGCCCCAAGATGTGAGGAACAACTGTTGATCAATTGCCCGCTCTTGAGACTCCACGGGTTGAGGATTCCATCCTGGCCCGACGTCCAAATCATCTCATCCCTGTGTTTGCTTTTGGGAATCGCTATATAGAATGCTAGACATGGACCTCAGGCTCGACAATGAATGCGTGACTTCACTCGAGTAAGGTGAAAAAATCGTGATGTCCCTGGAGGAGAGACCAACTATCAAAGGTTGTTACTGAACTAGCCTCCTGGGCTTCTGAAGCTGTCACTCCTTTGTGCTCTTGTGGCTCCATCAGTGTTCCGAGGGCTTAATCCATTGCATACGGGTGACACAAGCATCCTTGAAAGAGGTCACCCAAGGGGGAAAATGAGGAAAAAGACTCTACTGAAGCTGCTTCTACGATCGGCTCAACACAGGCGTATTCGCTTCCTTTTAGGCTGTGGATCCTGCTTGCTCTTCTTTGATAATGAGGGCAGCAGTTTTTGGAGTTTCGGGTGTGGGTGGGAGAAGTGCCGGTGTACATGCCGATGACAATACACAGTGGGAATAAGAGTCGTGTAAAAAACCATTTTAAAAATGGTAAAATACCTTCACTTTGACAACGATCAGAATAGTATTTTACCATTAAGACTATGGTCCTTTACCATGCTCCCATTGCCATGCTAACAGGGGTAAAAGACCTATTTTTTCGTAGTTTTCTACCATCTTAACGATGGTAAACGGTCACTTTACAATGGTTGTAATTGGTATTTTACCTCACGGGTCTGGTAAATTACGATGACTGTGGATGGTAAAATACATAACAGTTCATGGTTATTTATGGCTATTAATATGGTAATAAACAGCGAAAATGGCATTGCATCTTACCGGGTTGCATTACGACAAGCAGCATTGATCGAAATCAAGCTGATTTGAGAAGCGAATGGGGGCTATATAGATATGAGCGTCGATTCGATATGATTCAACCCTGATGAAGAAAGATGATTTGATACAGCACGGACCGCACAGCCTAGTAAAAATGCAGGAGGCCTCGGAATTGAGAGCAAAATGACAGACACAAACCTACGAGCAGCCAAGAATTTCAACTCCGACATGAGGTACCAGATAGAGCTTTGGCTTCTGAGATGGTCCAAGCACATCAGTGGGTTGGATACATACCTTCAGCTCTCAATCTCTGACTGCTTTTGCGCATTTCGATTGTTTCCTGGTATGAAAGTCAGAAAGGTGGTGTGGACGGGGAAATGGGAATCTTGACCAAACAAGCTTTGCCGCTGCAGGCAGAGGCTGTGGGAAATGTCACGCTGGATGATGGAATACATGGTCCGGGGGGTTTTTGGGAGAATTATCATTGAGCGCATCTGCGGTGTCATTGAGTAAGTGCACTCGGTGGATCTGAGGTCCAGATCAGATGCTTTCAAGAAGGAATATACATACTAAGCAGTTTCGTGTGAGAACTCAAACATTTGCAGGTAACTATGCATAGGTACTGGTCAGGGATGAGCCCAGAGGAAACTAAAAATAGTGGGCATACTCCGGGGCCAGACAACACCTGCTGAGTGGATGCTCGGGCTCTCTTCATGGGTGGTGAGTTGAGGCAACAGAGTGGCTGGAGAGCGGGAAAATAAGAAAAAAATGCGCACGAATAGAGGCATGCTGAAAGCGGAGGAATCCATCACGAATAACTGTGAAATCGACCCCTTCATCAAGCAGACAGGGGGCTGATCAAGAAGCCCAACAATGGCACATGTATTGCAGCGCTGGACTCAGAATCGAAGGGAAGCCACAGATGTGGGCATCTCTTGGGGGTGTGATATGTGTAGAATTGCCACGATCGGAGGTGCCGATCGCACAATTTTCCACTTGCAATGCTCAACCTGGACAGGTGATGATGAGTGTTGAAGCATGTATATAGATGCGAGAAACAAACCACAGCAAACCGAGGCCTAACTACACGTATTGTAGCAGCCAAGCATGGATCCAATGTATATGATGAGTGTATGGTGAGTGAGAAGAGGAAGTTCAGTGGGTCCGGGAGTTTCCGCTTAGTTCGACTTTAACTTGAGATCATTACTGACAAGTAAAGATGGCAACGAGATGCCACATAAGGATGCATCCAATACTGGCTTGCCCTTTGTGAAGCATTGTGAAAATGGCCTTCAAGGGCAGGATTGAGGCACGTTTTGCCCATGGTACCAAGGGTGATGTATTAGCGCCCCACGCTCCGACTCCCCAATCAGACTTCCTGGTGATCTTACCTCCTTTGTATACCCTGATAAGCACATGCCAATAGAATACATCTTGGGACTCAGTTTGTAGCGACAATGAAGTGAAAATAATGCACTTGCACAAGTTACCGTGGTACATGTAGTAAAATACTTGCCATGAAAGTCGGTTCCTTGACTCGCAATTTCGATTTGGTAAAATACTAGACTCCAAAAACCATCGAAATGATGGTAAATGGTCAATTACCAGAGTAATTGTGGTCATTTACCGAGAAATAGTTCCCACAGTGAATAGACGTCAACACCAACTGAATCCTATAAAGCTGGCGAGATGGGGCATCCTCGGGTTTTCCCTAAAGTCGTGTTGCACATATGCCTTCCATCACCGCTGATGCTGAGAACCTTTTCTTCACCTTGTTCAGGGTATCCTGGAGTGCTTCAATTGTAATGCAGGTCATGGTATCGTCTGCACTGAAACTGACTGAGTTTCTCCACTCGGTTGCTAAATTGCTGACTGGTGCGGCAGCCTTTATTACAGGCCAGTGATCTGCTCTTGTGCATCCTCAGCCAGTTTTACATTGGAATGCAGGCAATATTGTTGGAATACTGGTCCTCCTTTCCATTTACATTGCATACCAGAAATTGTACGCCAAGGGACAGAGAGTCAAGAAGTTCAGGTAGGAGAATTGGAGTCGCTTGATCACCTTGAAGTCCCTCTGAATGCACTTCGATTGCTTCCCATGGAATAACTTGATAATGTCTCTTCCATCATTATTTTTTTATTTTTATTTTTGGTGGAACCTTTGGTAGCTTTCGTGGGCAGGATGCCTGAAGGTTTGTAGGGAAGGGCGGGGCCTTCCAGGGGGCAGTGATGATGGGTGCCTCTGTATGACGGGAATTGCCACCACGGGGAAATGCATTTCCGCACTTGGCGAAGTGGTTATCGCTCTGTGTGGGGCTCCCGTGACCACAGGGGGTCCGATATACCCACTAAAACCCCGTTGCACTTCAGCCAATTCTCAGGGAGGCTTAGTTCGTTCTCTAGGGTGCCGCACCAAGTGTGTAGAATGAGCCATTCGGGGAGGGCTCTGTTGCGGTATTTCTTTATATTCGTGAGGTTCCTGTCCTGATTCAGTTTTTCGTTTATGGTGGCTTTATAGGTGTTCATGGCTTCGTTCAGTGAGATCTTTGGTTGCCCAGTCTCATCGTCACTGAGGACTCTCTTGCATCTCAGTTTCCATATTTTCCAGGCACATTCGGTGATGGCGATTCTGAGGAATCTGGACGCACCGTGGTTTATAGTGCCGTTACGATTTTTGATAACGGTTAGTGGGCAGCCATTATGTGGTATATTCCCATATTAACGGGCCAGTCTATACCTTTTATTAGGCTCATGGTTTTTATGGCAGCCCAGAGTTTTGGGCCCTGGTTGTGTGGGCACTCGAAGATAATGTGGTTCATTGATTCTAGGGCGTTACACTTAACGCATTGACCTCTGTCTTCGTAGCCCGGGATTTTGCTCCAGTAGGTGCCGTCTTTGTGGGCTCCATGGACAAGTTTCCACAGGAAGTTTCTGAGGTTGGGGTTCAGATCTTTCTTGTTTTTCAGGATGGCGAGCCAAATGAGGTTGTCGTTGGGGTGGGGCAGTTTAGGTCTCTCAGTACGTCTCTGATATGGTTCATGTTTTCTGTTGCTCTGTGGTTCTTTTTGTGGGGTTTCTTGGCTGACTCTCGGGTTATTAGTTTCATGATAGTCGATTGGGTCAGGGTTCTTAGTCTCGCACCGTTCTGGGTGAGGGGGAGGTGTCAGGGTCGCGTCCGGGGTCGAGGCGGTCCGGGCATAGCGTCCGGTGCTGAGGACCTCACGGGGGGTGGATCGGGCGTGCGTACTGGCAGCCCCGATGTGGGACGGCGATCCCTGGCCACTTAGACTGAAGTGGGAATGTTGAGAAGAAGGTTACTTCTTCGGTTCCCACCCCAGGTGTGTTTATATACATGCGGCTTGGGTCACATGAGGTCCGCCACATCACCCCGCATACAGCCGCAGTCACCCGGGTGTCCCCGTGGGGGATCCCGAGGGTGTATGCTGCACGCGCGCACACTAGGTTGCGCCCTAGAGCCGTCCGGGGTCGTCCGGGGCTAGGCATGTCGTGTGCGCGTCGTGGGCGGGTCAATAATACATGGATATAAGGGAAAGGTCGTCCGTGTGAAGTAGAAATAGAAATAGAAATAGAAATAGAAATAGAAGTGGAAGTGGGAGAGGGATAGAGGGGGAGGGGGTATGAAGGAGGGGTGCAGGGTGGGAGAAGGGGACCGGGTGAGGTGGGCCCGGGTGGAGGTGGGTCAAGCGGGTGTGCCCTGACAGGAGGTTGGGGTGACCGAGCCATTGTCGGGGGTTTTCGCAGATCCCAGTGTTGCAAGTTCATTGGCATTCTCATTTCCGGCGCAGCCGTTATGGCCTTTTATCCACTCGATCGAGACGATGCCATTCCTCATTCGGAGGGAGCTTATGGTATTTTTGATGGCTAGGGGTTGGGGAGTGCTGATGTAGTCTTGGTCCTCGGCTTTTTCAAGATTTACGGTTAGTGCGTTCACGCACCATCTTGAGTCGGTTTTAATGTGGAGTCTGGCTCTTAGGGGCGTTGTGGTAATTGCGTGGTTTATTGCCAGTACCTCAGCGGAGTTGTTTGTCTGGGGGAAAATCCGATCTACTGGGAGGCTTGCATTGTCTGGGCACTCGGGGGCGATCCATACTCCGAAGCCCGCCTTGGCATCAGTTTCACCGTTTCCTGTACAGGATCCGTCTGTGTATGCCACGGTGTCGGTGCTTAGTTTCTTTGGGGGGGTGAGCCTGAGGGGGAGGGGGTTGGTTATTCTTTTCCTGAAAGATGCGGAAGTAATCTGACTGTTATGGATACGGAGTCTCCAACGACCATATCCGTCGCATGGTCAAAGACTTCTCCTCTCTATCGTTCCTCCCCTCTTTCTCCCTTCTGTCCTCTATCCCGATACCCTATCCTCCTTACCCGTTCTACCCCTTTCCCCCCCTCGTGCAAAGCTTTCCCCATTGGGGTTTTGGTGCTGGCCAAGGTTACTTGTGTTTTGCAGGATTTCCTGCGACCTTACCATTTGTAGATAGTCACACGTTGCAAGAGGGCTCGCGGCTCTCTATGCCGACTAAGCTCATGGGGCCGAACTCTCCAAAACCTCTACTTTCTCTCTTGACTTCGCTATGCTCGATCCTAAAACTCCGTGGTGGGTTCTCCGGGATTCCGCAAGGTCCGGGCTCAACTAATCTACTACCCACTCGTTGTGGGCTAGACAGTTGCCCTTATTCCTACTGTTGGATTCCACACACTCACTCCAACTCTAGCGCGTCCTAGAGAATTTTTGGGGGAGGGGAGAACTTCTATTCCAAAATCCGGTATGTACAGGATATAAGGAACAATTATTTTTAGAATAATTGATGAGAAATATTGGTACCATATGGCACCTGCATACCTTATTAGGCAAAGTAATAAAAAGGGTAACAGTAACAATAAAAGAATATCAATCAATATCTGAAATGATGGCAAAATATGAAAATAAGAGAAAATAAGCGATATCTCAATGGATTTACGGAATTAAGAGCCTAAATTGGAAATGTAGCCGGAGATAACTCTCACGCAGCCAATGAGCATTTTTACCAATTTATTAGACGCCGTGGGAACGAGTGAGGCTGGAATTCTGGGTTGCCGCTTGAGATTCCCACGCCCGCACATGCCCGTGACCTGCTGTGCCTAACTTCTCCAACACGGAACTCCGTCAAATCTCCACCGATTAGGACGTTCTTGGTATCGTCAGAATCGTACGAATTAGGACTATTTTTGGATACCAAATTTGTACCGAGTCGTCGCGTGAATGCAAGTGGTTTCTGAATGTTGGAAGCGGGTATCCGAGCCGGCTCTGCGCGTGGGCGATTATCCCGCCTACAACGTCTTGTACGGAAACCGCTGAAGGCGGTTCCCGCTAACTAACAACTGCTCTACAACTGTCTCGTGTATCATCTTCTGTAACAACCCTCCCTGTGACTCAACTGAACCCGTGTGATTGTACAACTCTCAATATGTCTTATAAGTCTGGTTATATCGAGTCCTCTAATGGCCCTCGCCGTGAGAACTCGAGGTCGTGAGTTGAAGACTCTCGACATGTGTATCATCCTATTGAATCTGTACCCTATGGGTCCTCGTCACTCCGCTCTCCCCCCAGTACTTGACATACGACATCACATCACAATCATGGAGATCGTGAATACTCTGAGGCCCACTTTCCCGTGATGCCGGCATGTTCGAATGCCAAGTCGCCGCCCATCCACCGTCTGTTCCCTCCTTCGTCAGTCATCATGTTTCCCCGCCAACAGTACATTCCCTTTGGGAATGCCAAGTCACCGAAGGCCCTATTAGTCAGTCCTCATTGCACGCTTATGATATCAACCCACTACCGGTACGTTCGCACTGCAAACGCCAAGTACCCGATGGCAACTATACGAAGTTCTCACCCATCTCACAAGTCGCAACCTCGCACACGGTACGCTCCATTGAGGAGCGCCAAGTGCCCGTGGCTGACCTGTCCGTCCTGGCATCTCCGACTGCCTACCATCAATCCCTTAATAGCTCACTACATCACCAATCGCGATCGATGGGAATTCGATCGTCCACTCCCAGACAAGACTGGGATCACTCATCGATTACATATCCCGTTATGGTACAGACCAGATATGACCCTCGTCATCCCACTATAAGAACGGATCGAGGAATGGGGAATTACCCCCATCCCCGTAACACTGACGCATGGTCTTTTGGGTTGGGGAAGGTTTTGATAACCTTAATACTTGAGGGGCCGTTGAGGGAGTGGGATTTGATGATGGCCCTCTCGTCACCCGAGGGGGGAGGGCAGCGTATGGGAGCTGTGCAGGGGTTGTATTGGGGTTTCAGGTTTGATATCATGTGGTTGGCTAGTTGGTAGCAGGTTTCGGGGTTTTTGCAGCTGGCCATTTTGAAGTTGGTGCATGGTGGGCAGGAGCAGGATTTGTTCCATCGTCTGTGTTGTGGGTTGTCTAGGATGTTCGCTAGGATGAGGAGGTTGCCGGTGCGCTGGCAGTTGTGAGTGTTTCTGAGGCATTTGGCTGCAGGCGTATTTTCTCTTGATTTGACATGCTCTTCTGTTCCGATATGGTACCATGCTGGGAGATCCAGCCTGATGTTCAGGGGGAGGTTGACATCGTCGAGGGCTAGGTTGTACTTGGCTCCAGTGTTGAGTATGGCTTTAATTTCGTGCGGGAGGGTTTTGCTCACATAGCGGTGTTTGTTAAAGATCTGTTGGGTAAAGATGTCAATTATTCGGGGGTCGTGGGCCTCTTGGTCGCGGGTGTGTTTTGGGAGTGAGCAGATTATTATGGCCTCGGCAGCGTCGGCAGCGGGTGGTCTGTCAGGAGATCTATCTAAGATCTTTTTCAGCTTCATAAGGTGAATCGCTTCGTTCCTTGCTTGGATATTCAAGACGTTTCTTCCCCCTTCACTAGTAGGGCTGTTCAGGGTCCTCATGCTGAGTGAGGGGAGTTGGGAGTTCCATATGAAGTTTTTTATTAGGGTGTTTAATTCCTTTTCGATTTTGGCTGGCATGCCTTGGGCAGAGGTGTGGAATTGGGTCATACTGCCGATGACCATTTGGGTGATGAGTTTTCGCCCTTCGATGGTCGGGTAGTGTTACAGGAATGGGTTCTGGGGAACCCAACCTGAGCCGTTCGGCTCACTAATGGAGGTGGCTGCGTAGCCATCAGAGGGAGAGCGGAATAGGATGAGGGTACGGAAGTACAACCTGTGTGTCGGCCAACGGTAACTTGGCGCTCCTGGGAGCGTACCGGTAGCGAGTATGATGTGGGCTCCTTCAGGGAGCCACCTGGCTGTCTGCTAACAGGGACTTGGCGCTCCTGGGAGCGTGCCGGTAGCGGGTGTGATGGGAGTGTTTGGCTAGCGGTGACTTGGCGCTCAATGGAGCGTACCGGTAGTGAGGGATACTGGGACTCCCAAAGGGAGTCACCCAGTTGGTGGCTATCGGTGACTTGGCGCTCATGGGAGCGTACCGGTAGCGGGAGTTGTTGGGGAAAGCAGGTTGGTGGACCAGTGCACGGTAGTGGGTGACCGTGGGAAGTGGGACCTGCGGGTGCGTGGCCAGGCATCCTGGAGCTGCCTGGACCGTATCCTTCTCCTGAGGAGGTGGGATAGGCTACAGTTCCTGATAGGGAACTTCTGGTTGGATGGGAGTAACCACTCAACCACCCGGTGGACTGGTGGGAGCGGGCAGCAGGAGGTTGGGCGTGGGAATGCCCTCCTCGTTGCGGTTTTGTCATGGAGAGGAGGAATAGGGAGGTGGACATGGTTCCAGGGTTACAGGTTGAGTTTACAGTGGTGACACAATGGTGAGGATGTTACAATCGCGGTACAAGGTTTGTGGGTTATGTATTTGATAATGAAAGACATTTTTCGGCATCTGCCTTACACATCATATGACTTCTAACTATCTAATATAAAAGTCACAATGGTCAAGGGAAGTCCCTTGAAACTCAACAAATTCCCCAGCCAGCACCAAAACCCAGTGGGAAAGCTTGGCATGGGGTTTGACAGCAAAATAAAGGTGCAGGGACCAAAGGTCTGATTGTTCATAGTCACGGACCATAAGATTCTAGGTCCATTCCTATAACAGGTAGGTTTTCTGCCAGTGTTTAAGGCTTGTGTTGATTTTGGCCATAATGTCCGGCCATGGGTCGATCCCGGTAGGGCGGTTACCGCACTGGGCACCTAGATACCTTGTGGTCTGGCCATCTTGGAGGATTGTCATGTCGATGTGGAAGGGGTTAGATGAGTTGGGGTTTAGTTTTCTGGTGTCAAGTAGGTTTTTGCGGTATGTCGCTGAGCTGACAGGGATAACCATGGATTTTCCTTGGTTGAATTTAGCTCCTGAGGCGGTACACCAGGTGTCGAGGATGTTGAATAAGTTAGTTACATCGTCGTTTTTTGAGAGGTAGACCGTGGTGTCGTCGGCAAATAGGGAGACAATGACATTTTGTGTGAGTACTGGTGTTTTGATTTCAAGGCCTTGTATTTTACCGGATTCTCTCAGCATAGCAGATAAGGGTTCAATAGCTATGTTGAAGAGGAGGCATGACAGTGGGTCGCCTTGACGTACTCCTCAGTCTATTAAGAATTCATCACTGATTTCACCATTCAGGATCACTCTGGTACCGGGGTTGGAGTAGAGGGCCTTTATGGAGTTTATGGTGGGTGGTGGGATCCTGGTGGCTTCCAGTGTGTGCCAGAGGTAGTCGTGACGGATCCTGTTGTACGCTTTTTCTTGGTCTAGGGCAACTATTGCACCATCTTGACTGATGATTTCGCACAGGTCAATCATGCAGTTGACTAGGTCAATCTGATCGTGGATGCTTCTGCCTTTTATGAAGGCAGCCTGGCATTTATTTATGAGGTTAGGGGCGATTGGCACTATTTTGTTCATGAGTGCTGTTGTCATGATTTTGTATTCAGCATTTAGTACAGTGATTGGTCTGTAGTTTTCGATTTCTCGTTTGTCTTTCTTTTTATACAAAGGGCACAGCCAGCCAGCAGTGAACTGTGGGGAGGAAATGCCTCGCATTTCAATGTCACTAATTACATTATGGAGGAGTTGAACTATATCTACACGGCCATCTGCCTCTGCTGCCCATCTTTCATGGAGTTTCTTGTAAAGTTCAGTTGGGATGCCATTGAGGCTGGGGGCTTTACCGTTTGGGGACTGTCTTAGGGCGGTTAGGGTTTCGTTGTAGCTGATACTGGAAGCCATGGGAGCAGTTTGTGTTGCAGGTGTGGTTGTGATAGATGAGAGGCATTCAGTGATGCAGGATTCTCTTTCTGAGGGGGGGATTAAGTTGAGGTCTCTTGATTGCATGGCATTGTAGTGTTCTGTGGCAATCTTAGCCATTTCTGAGGAGTTGGAGGTGTGGCAGGGGGGGGGGGTCAGAGTGGGGGATTTGAAGTTTGGATATAGTGTCACGTGGCCTTTTATTTTTCCCCCACCCGCACCAGTATTTGTTTATTGATTCGGCAAAGAGGCGCTTGTTTGTATTGGCTGTGGTCTTATTATTCCTATGCCGGGTTCTTTCCACCTCCTGGATCCTTTCAGTTAGCATTATGATCTGGTATTGGGTTTCCTCTAACTGGTGCGCTGTTCGGGGGGAGCTCAGTTTCCAGACGGCTTTGTTTCTGTGTTTCTCCAGATGGATAAGAGTTGAGTTTAGCTTGCCTGACTTGGTTTTGGCGAGTTTGCGTGCTAATGCTATAATGGATTGTGTGAAGTGGAGGAAGCAGTCTTGAACTCCGGGGGTATTTAGTGCGGTGAGTTGGTTGGTTTTGTCCAGTGCTTCATTCCTGAGATCTTTGGCTCCTTTCAGGAATTCATGGTCGTTTACTAGGTAGTTTGGGATTGCCCATCTGCCTTTGCCAATGTGTGGTGCATGGGGATCATGTATGTCTATTGAGATCAGCTGGTGGTCAGCCATTGGGATGCCTGGGTTTTTGATACTCCAGGTGAGTGATTTATTTATTATTTCATTTGTGGCATAGATCCTGTCAATTCATGACATGTGAGTTCCTGTACAGTGTCTGAAGGTGTAGTTTTTTGCTGGTGCCGGGTTGGCTTGGCACCATCCGGCTTTTAGGTTGTGGAGGTAGAGGAGTTCTTTTAGGGCCACTACTGTGGCATTCGCATCTTCATGTTGGGGGGAATGGTCAATTGCTTCTTCGACAACATTGAAGTCACCCAGGGCAATGTCAACCTGGATGTTTTCTGTGAGTTCACCTAGTTTCTGCCAGAATGCAGCGTTCTCAGTACCTGCCCCTCTAGTGTTTGGGGCCTATATTGTTAATAGTGTGATCTTGTTGCCAGGTGGCCATTCGATCGTGGTGAGGATGGCTCGTCCAGGGATAAGGTTGGTCGATTCCGTTGGCTTCTTTTTTATGATGCTTTTATTGATGATAATTGCAATGCCGGCGGCTCTGGTGTGGGTCGGGTCGAAGGAGTGGATGATGTGGAAATCATTGTTGTACCGGTTGGCTAGTAGGTCTTCTTGGGGTGAGTCGACGTGGGTTTCTGATACGCACATCACAGCGATCTTATCCTTCTTCATTTTATTTGTGATAAGGTTCCATTTTTGTTTAGTCTGTGGGCTGTTGGCTCCTCTTATGTTGAGGGCCGCAATGGAGAGGTGGCCATTTGGGGTCATTGGGGGTCTTCCACCTCTTAGGCGGAGTGGTATATGTGGGGCTGGGGTTTTTGGTCCGTTTTCCGATCCCTGGTGACCATCATTGGGTTTCGATAAAACGGTATAAATTCTCTGCCCTCTGGGCACCGGGGGCTGTGGTCTATTTACCAGTTGGGTATTCACCGTGTGATTGGGCTTTGGGGGGTTGATCTTTTTACAGGCATTTTGGTGTTTCCCAATCCAATTGCCAGCCAGGGTTCGGGGTGTTTTCGGGCGTTTTGGGATCAAGCTACTGGGCTTTCCTGTCACCCGTGGGCTCAGTAAGTGTGGGCTCAGTAAGTGTGGGCTCAGTAGGGTGTGGGGAGGAGGGGAGGTTATGGGTTAGTTAGGGTTTTCAATTGAATCGTAGTGTTTGTGAGGGAAGTATGTACAGGACAGGGCAGAGTAGCTACGTGATGTGAGCAGGGCTCTTTTGGTTATCTAATTTATTTTGCCATTTGTTCATAGTTCAGGGTGAAATCCTTTTAAGGTGCATATCAGTCAAAGTTGTATTTTGGAGGGACGAAGGTGTTAGACACTGGTCCGGGGTCGGCACTGAAGGTCACCGTTGCGGGCCGCTATAGGCCGCGATGGCCGTGATGCTGTGAACAAGGCCTGAGGGTAGGGCATTTGGCCTCAGCGACTCTAAAGGAGCACTGTGCCCCCTAGCTGTCTCTTGGCCCTCATTTCAGACTCACTGGGGTTGCCTTGTTGGGGTCAGGACTTAGGGGTCATGGTCACATCGATATTAGAGCTAAAGTACTATAATGTAGTATACAGGATATATATAGGAGGAAGGAATGAATGGAAGCGGACCCGGGCCGAAGGCCGAAGGGTCCGGAAGCAAACATGAATAAGGAGCGGGGTTGGCCGCACAGCAGCCGGCAATGACCGAGGGTCAAAACAAACAATAACAGATAAATAAAGGAAGGAGCGTAGGGCCGCGATAGCGGCGATGGTATCATAGCGGCGCCGGACTCGGAGTTGGGCCGGAGTCAGGCGCGGGAATGGTAGCGGCCCTGTAGGGGCCGAGTGGGTGGGGTAGAGGAGTCGCGCTGGGCACGGTGCCAGAGGCGGACTCAGGGCAGGAAGGTCGGTGTGGCTGTGGGGGAGTCGGCCAGGTGCAGGGGAGCCTAGGGGCAAGCAGGGGAGTGAGCAGGGAGTCCTCAGGGAAGATAGGGCTGAGGTCAGGGCTCACATAGCGGGAATGGGCTTGGGTGGCATCAGGACAGGTGGGGAGCAGGCCGGAATGCACGGCTGTGACAGAAGGAGAGGAATCGTGAGCCATATTGGGTGGGGGATGGCTGCATCCTCTTCCACATTGGAAGTTTGAATAAGGCAGGTGTCGAGGGAAGGAGGGGAATGGACCTCCACTAGAGCTGGAGGGGATCGCATTGCCATTGGTATCCGCTTCCATGTCGGCATCTTGTTTGGGGTACCGTTGATTCCAGGCAGAGTGAGAGTGGATCGGGCAGCAGTGGAATTGTTACGGATATGGAGTCTCCAATGACCATATCCGTCGCATGGTCAAAGACTTCCCCTCTCTATCGTTCCTCCCCTCTTTCTCCCTTCCGTCCTCTATCCCGATACCCTATCCTCCTTACCCGTTCTACCCCTTTCCCCCCTCGTGCAAAGCTTTCCCCATTGGGGTTTTGGTGCTGGCCGAGGTTATTTGTGTTTCGCGGGATTTCCTGCGACCTTACCATTTGTAGATAGTCACGCGTCTTGTACAGAAACCGCCGAAGGCAGTTCCTGCTAACTAACAACTGCTCTACAACTGTCTCGTGTATCGTCTTCTGTAACAACCCTCCCTGTGACTCAACTGAACCCGTGTGACTGTACAACTCTCAATATGTCTTATAAGTCTGGTTATATCGAGTCCTCTAACGGCCCTCGCCGCGAGAACTCGAGGTCGAGAGTCGAAGACTCTCAACATGTGTATCGTCCTATTGAATCTGTACCCTATGGGTCCTCGTCACTCCGCTCTCCCCCCAGTACTCAACATACGACGTCACATCACGATCATGGAGATCGTGAATACTTTGAGGCCCACTTTCCCGTGATGCCGGCACGTTCGCTACGCGAATGCCAAGTCACCGCCCATCCACCGTCTGTTCCCTCCTTCGTCAGTCATCATGTTTCCCCGCCAACGGTACGTTCCCTTTGGGAATGCCAAGTCACCGAAGGCCCTACTAGTCAGTCCTCATTGCATGCTTATGACATCAACCCGCTACCGGTACGTTCACACTGCGAACGCCAAGTACCCGATGGCAACTATACGAAGTTCTCACCCATCTCACAAGTCGCGACCTCACACACGGTACGCTCCATTGAGGAGCGCCAAGTACCCGTGGCTGACCCGTCCATCCTGGCATCTCCAACTACCTACCATCAATCCCTTAATAGCTCACTACATCACCAATCGCGATCAATGGGAATTCAATCGTCCACTCCCAGGCAAGACTGGGATCACTCATCGATTACATATCCCGTTATGGTACAGACCAGATATGACCTTCATCATCCCACTATAAGAACGGATCGAGGAATGGGGAATTTCCCCCATCCCCATAACAGGAATAAGTGGTCAGAAGCTTTACAGGTGTTACAGACTCTTTGTCTGTTGAAGGCATGTCCGGCTTGGGTTCTCTCACTTACGAATGAGGCCATTTTGAAAATATGGGACCATTGGTCGTGTGCGGTTTCTCGCGCCTCTTTGAGGGTCTTGAAGGGAGGGTCTATATGCAGCTCCCACATGGTTACCGATTTGTCTGAGGTCGGCCTTCTTTTTTCCTTGGTGTTTTCGTTGTATTCTTTTCCGTTGGGGGCATATCCTCTTGGGATTACTCTGATGCTGTCTACAATTTCCTTTATTTGGTCAGTTGTCATGCTTGCCTCCTCTAGGAATGTTTGGAAGGGGCTTGGTGATTTGGTGATAGTTTGCTTGACAGCGTCTTTAAGGTTGTTCGCATCCTTCAACCTGTTGCCCATTCCCACAATTGAAATCATGAAGGAAGAAGGCTTGAATCTAGTGCCGATAGCGATGAACCCAAATGTCTTGCATATCCATAAGTGTTCGCATATGAGGAGGTCAGCGAATTGGGGGTTCAGGCCATCAATTAAGAAGCCCCACGGTTTAGCGTATTGGGGGTTCCGCCACATCTGAGGTCAATGGGGACAGGGGGGATAATGCTCACTTCTCCTACTTGGTGTGGGAATGCTCTTTCAAGGAAAGCTTCCATGTTGGTCTGGAAGTTGCTGGTGTTTTCTTCGCTGTGGGCGGCATCTAGGGGTAGGACTAGAATGGCACCTGCCTTTTTTAGCCAGGCTTTGGCACGGTCAGGGTTTGCTCCTTCAAGGAGGCGACCTGGGTGGAGGCCGTGTGCGTAAAAGTTGGCTAGGCCAGGGCCGAGAGGTAGCCAGTTGAGGTCATCTCTTCCGTCATCGGGTTTTTCTGCAAGTACCGGCATGAAGGTTGGGTGGTCAGTGGCAATGGGGGATCCATCACCGTCCGTGGCTGGGCTCCGGGATGGAGGGAATTCGGTGGGGTTTATATTTTTTAGGAAAGCCGCTGAGCCTCCAGACTCAAAGTCGAAGACATCGGGGGTGGGCACAAGGGAGGGTTTGAAGTTCTGGGGGGTGGTGAGGAGGGGCCTCATCGCTTTTGGGGGGAGAAAGCGGGGGGGGGGGCCTTTAAAGGGCCCTGGAGTCTTGCGGCGGTGGGTGATCTTGCGTGTTTCCTCGTTTCGTTTTCGGATGCTGGAGTAGGGTCTTGGTTTTTACCGCTTCCTTGGTAGTTCTTTCCGAAGAGGGGGCTGGGTTGGGAGGTGTCTGTATTGTCGGAGTCGGAGTCGTGGGTGATCTCCTCATCCTGGTCAGCTATAGTGACGGCGAAATTTTGTGGCACATTGGTTATGGCTGCTGCCATTTGTTCGTCCTCAGCCCTCAGCAGGGATTGGAAGGTTGTATGGAGGGGTACGGATGGCTGTTCAGACTGGGACCTTGTCAGAGGCTATGGGGTGAACAGGGGGGATATTTACCTCCATGGTTTAGCGGGGAACTTGTTGGGGGGGAGGGAACTGACACAGTTCCTGCGGAGTTACCCGTTTTATTCCCGGCTGCTAGAGTGCGTCGGTATTTTCGATTGGCGGTTAGGGGGGTTTGGGTTTTCCCGGATCCGGGTGGGGGGCAATTTCGGCGTGTGGGGTGGGCCGGGGTCGGGTCGGTTTGTTTAGTCATCGGGGGTCATTTACCAGTGGCGTTTTGGGGGCAAATGTTCAGAGTGTTACAGGTAGGCCTGGGGGGATAGTGGTGCCCCTTGATTCTAGCGGGGGAAAGTTGATTCTACGAGATATTAGGGTGTAGCGGGTTTCTTGCCCGGATGTTGTAGCCATGCCAGGGTGGAGATTTGGCAGCGGCGATTCTGGTTTAAATCAGCGGGCAAATTGACCACGCAATTTAGGAGTGGCCTAGGTAATGCTCATTTGGTTGTGGTATGGGTTAGTTCACACAGGTTGTACAGGTTATTGCAGCGGAGTGGCAGGTGGTAATTATTTTATTTTATTTTTTGTTTTTCCGCACTTAGGTTGTTGGTCAGGGTTTTCGTCAGTGTGTTGTACATTGTCATAACTACCCTTGAGATCTCGTCCACTGTGGCAGGGGGGGAGTCTCCCGGCCCTACTGCTATCGTGGGCGCGGGGAAACTGGAGCCGGAGCTGCAGAGGTATGAGAGGGGGTGTCTCCAGAACGCTCGGGAGGTCCGAAACTCGCTTTTGGGATACCAAGTCGAGCTTAATGGTGCAGTTTGGGTATGTCGTGGATATGCTCTCGGAGGGGTTGTTGGGGAGTCATATGGTTGAGACGCAGATCGGCGTAGTTATAATGGGACAGGGCGATTGGGTAAGGGGGTGAGGGAGAGCGTTTCCTGCTGGGCCATCTTGGCCAATAGTGGCCGGGGACTGTCTGGGTAGCCGTTAGGTGACGGGCCAGGCTTCGGTTGTGATCGGTGGCTAGTGGTGGGTTAGGGCGTCATTTGGGTGAGCATTAGGGAGGTGGTACTTGTGGTTTCATGGGCACTGTATTGAGGTTAGGGCTGAGGCGGGCGATTGGTAGGTTTCATAGGGCTCTAATTTAATTTGATTTTGGGGGGGTCCTGGGCTCGGTTGTCTGCTCGGGCTGCGCCCTCGTCAGGGGGGAAGACAGATAGAGGTAGAACCTCCTGACTCTGCGAGTCTATAGTGGGACACCTAGTCTACGGCGCGTAGGCTGTGTGGATGTTCCCGTGAACTGTCCTAGTTCTTGCGGAACTACCCATAAACCCAATTGCCTAGGCCGCGCTCGGCGTTATATAAGGTGGCAATTGGGCGCTCATGGTCGACGGCCCTGGGCTCGGGGTCGGCGCGACGCCCGCCCTGGTGCCCCCTGAGCTTTACCCCCTGGTCGACATTGCCGCCCCTCTTTTCATTTCTCTCTTTTTTCTTTCTTTCTTTTTTTTTTTTTTTTTCTTTTTTCACTTTCTCGTGCGTGTACTAGCTGTTCGCTTTGCTTTTACCTTTCTAGTTTAACGACTTTGCGGTCGCGTCTCTTCCATCATTAATACTGGCGGGTATGTCAACTCGTGTTCGCACCAGTTTTCCAGAAGCCGAGCTCAACAGGCCACGACCGCCATTCATCACGTTCAATTGGGTCGTTGCACTCTTCCAGAGGAGCAGTGGGTGCCTGTCCTGCCCAGTTACGTGCCTGATGACAACGTGGTATCAACCATGCCACGGGGAAGTGTTAGCGGCTAAGAAATGGCGGCCTTAAAACGCGGCACATTGTGAACAAAGACTGATGCTTACCAAGAGGTAACGGCGTAGTCAATGGGAGTAGGGTCAAAACATACCTCCCGATTAGCTGCAAGATCCATGGCCACTCTCGTGCTAACTGGAATGAAGTTGGAATCTATGAGATTGAAGGGCAACATCGCGCAACTAGAACTCGCTAGGAGAGATTGCTACTGCAGAGAGCTTGTTCCCCTCAGAAGACCAGCGACGATTGATTTTATCTCTCAAATAAAGAATAGATGCATCTAGACTAGCTTCGGTACGCCGTGGGGTTCTGTCCTTGCCATTTGCTCCCTGAGAGTAGGTCCTCGATCGTAGAGGGTGCCACGACCGCGTCTGGGTTTAGGCAAATTACCAGCCTCTATTAGTATAGAGTCTGGGATCGAGAGTTGTCCTTGGTACGGGGCGAATGGAGCAATTCGTACTTGTCACAGGCACTTCGTGTTTCTCCGACCAGTGCGATGCACCCATCATTCGTCATTACGTGTAACAAACGCTTCAAAAGGACAGCTTGACTAAGCGTGTTGACGAAAAGGGTGTTCTCGAATTCTCTGTTGTCTGGGAGTTTGACGGTCTTTCGAATGTTGCGTAGGACAATCTCAGCGTTCAGCACCAAAATATCAATTTTCTTGTCAGATTGGACAAGACATCTTGCGTAAAAGCGTTCGATAGAGTAGTCAAGTGAGGCCAGGTCGAGTGCGGCAGTTGTGCCTCAACCTCGAGCGGCGACGGTGAAGATTGCCGAACCCCTTCAAAATGAGCTGGTAACACTCCGTCGGATGTCGATCGTGCAATGATGTATACTTCATAGCTGAATCGAGGAGTGGCTTCAAAATTTGTCGTGGGGTATTCAATGAGCTTCCCCAGAGCCGCAAGGCTTAACCCAGCCGAGCCTCCGGTGAAAACTACGGGTTTAGACACAAGGTCCATATGTGATGCTAAGCTAGGGCAGGAGGCGATTCGACAGTGCAAAGCTCAAGAATTGGGCTCTTGAGGGATTCTGCGTGCCGATGGAAACTCGAGCAGGAAAGTGCGTAAGCCTTCTGCTTTGGCGGGATTGTATATGTGTGCGTGAATGTTCGCTTTGAGATGATCCAACGTACTTATATATACCGCTGCGTGATTGCAATGTAACAATCACCCCCCGCCCTTTTCGCTCAAGTATCCGCGCTAAGTGCTATAACATCAAACCTAACGTAGGCTCTGGATATTCCCCTCATCATCTACTTCAATTGTTCATTTATGCAGCAATGTTCAATCCGAAGTTCTCTATTTGATAAACCAGCAGCCATCGCGGGGACGCTCAGACAGCCTCCACCCCAGCCAGAAGTACTCAGAGACGTACAATTGCTGGTGGAGCCAAACAACTGAATCGAAAGAATTTTCTCGCCTCCGTACCGGCACCATGCCCCTTGACAGGGACGTCTGCTGTGAAAACCGACACTGAAGTCCCCACAGTCCCTCAATGTCAATAATGGACCGCGCTTGCTAACCCTGCGGATTCGTCTTTGGAACCCGATATCTGGCGTTCCTCAGTGATGTCCTCATGCTTCCGGTAAAACAAACGAGAGAACAGCGCGTAGATGGGTTAGACTGTCAAAAGGTGGGAACAACCGTGGGTTTATGAATCAGATTAACCGAAATATTCGGCGTAATGGAGCCGATTGGTGAACCAGATAGTGATCGGTTGTGGTGATTCGTCAGGCACCTCATTCAGCCCAACAGCGATCAAGGGCACGCGTTCGGAGTAACAATGTAAAACATGGGGTTTCAAATTTGTCATGTAGGGCCTAGCGTCCTGGAGGATGAGCTTTATGGATCCGAGCATGAGGAACATAAATATTGATCGAGGAAAGTGAAAAGGCAGTATGGGGGTATGGGCTGCTGGATCCGGGGGCGATAGAATGAAATGGCTGCTTAAAGTCCTCGAGGATCGGGAGGCCTATCTCCGATCGACACTGCGTCCAACCAGGTTTCAATGCGGACAGTGTCAACCGGTGGGTGAGTAAGGCTTGGGTTGGTACTTATGGAGGTGGAGGTTTCGTCCGAATCAGAATCCTCACTGCACCCATAGATGCTAGCTTCCTTAAGGTCTCCAGCTTCCGCCTCAGCATAAGCCTCCGCTCCTTCAATCTCAATGCGTGAGATATTATCCCGCGCTTCTGTGCGTCTATCTTCCGGAAGATGAAGGATGTGCCACTTCTGTTCCATTTCACAGACGTCGAAGGGTGGCCACGACATCGAAGCATCGAAAATGTCACATAGTCGGAATGCATGTTTTGATAGGACTTTCAATGCAAGAAATAGCCGGACACGTTCAAGATAAGGAGAGCCCAGACCAGTCATAAGTTCCTCGGTTTGATCCTCCTCTGGCGGATACTCCCCGAAGAGGAAAGTGTCTACCTCTGAAGATGCTATGAGATACTCCCTGGAGGCTTCGTCCCAGTATGGAATGAATGCTAGAAGTGTAAGACAATTCGACTGCCAGATGAGGCCAAATACCATCAAAAACTCAGGCAATGGACGATCCTCTATTCCTTTCGTCCAGAATCCGCTGCTGTGAGGCGTGTTTCGTTGCCGACAGAACGAGGCTAGCATTAAGCTTGCCAAACTACCGCGAACGACATGAAAGACGTTCTCAAGGGCTTCAGATGACACCAAGTCATCGCCGGAGTCGAAAGCGCCTGTGATTAAAGCAGGGTTGGAAAAGGACACAGGGAGATGCTGATCAACCCGCTTTGACTCGGCCATCAGCGGTGTGACGAGGTTCCTAACAATGCAAAACCGTATACGGTCCATAGACTGAGAAGGCTGAAATTCTTCTGGGAAACACAATCGAGGCTTTCTATTCGGACGACAGGACTCAGCGTGAAGGACGTAATAAAATGTTAAAAATCTGTGACCTTAGCACCCAAGAGCTCGGTGAACCGGATAATCCATACATAAGTATGTCATCAGCGGATGCACCCCCTTCGTTGTGCATAAGTAGCGAATGAAGCTGACTGGAAGCATATCTCGTGTCACGTTCTAGGTAACCAAGCATTTGGTACTCTCGTTCGTCGATAGTCCAATGAGATTCGAGAAATACTCGAGCGGTAGATAGTAAAAAGTCGGGTCGCAAATCTGTTGGCGAGTCGTGCCGGGAATCAACTTCTTCGGTTGTTAGTGAGGATAGCATATGCTGGATGGGCGCCAATGTAGCCCCAATCATTAATCGGGACAGAAATGGATGTTGGTCCGTGATAATGGATAGTATTGGCTCTTCGAGCTGCGCCTCAGAAAACTAACATGCTTCAGAGGCACAAGTATACATCGAGTCTTGGCATGAATTTACCATCCAGGGAGAGGGCAGTTCGAACTTTCCATTGTTCCACTGATTTCGAAGATCCCTGAGATACTTTATGCACCCGGAGAGCGAGTCAGCATAAAAACCCTCGCCCTCCAGAGAGCCAGTGGAAATCAAGTTACTACAGCAGCGCAAGTGTGAATTGCGCCCAAAGACGGTAAGGTTAAAAACTAACGGACTGAGTCGGAAATTGAACAATTCAGTGAAACAACGAAGAGAGTTGGCCTGCTCGCTTGGAAGAGGCTCTGCGTGTCCTTGGGGTGAGCTCATAAGAATGAGCAAGAAAGTCAGCGAGACAGGTTTTATGTGATCGGAAGTAAATGTAATTCCCGCTACTCTGTAGCGGGTCTTGAATGCGTAAACTGAATGCCCGTGCAAGAGGTCCTGTATTATTGCAAATTCCCTTGCTATCTAGGGTCCTTGTCTTGATTTGTAAGCCAACTTTCCGCATTTGTTTTGTAACTTCCGTATCCTGTTCTTACTTTAAAAGTTCCCCTTCATTCTCTCTTTCACTTCGACGTTTCCCTAATGTCTGGTCAATGATGTCATCACCCATTGCACGACTCAATTTTCATCCCCAACACCACTCTTGTCATTTCAAATCAAGCTGAGGGCCTTGGGAGTTGTCTTGTTGCAAATGCATGAATTCGCCACAGCGTACATGGGTAGAGCACTCGTTCAAGAGGAGATATCAATGTACCCCAGTGCAGTGACACAAGTTTGGCTAACCGTAAACTAAATGCCTGCGCAAGAGGTCCTCTATTATTGCAAATTCGCTGGCTAACCAGGGTCCTTATCTTGATTTGTAAGCCAAATTTCCGCATTTGTCTTGTAACTTCCGGATCCTGTCTCCGCTGCAGGCGGCGTCCATCAGTTATGTATATCGTGACAAGGGTAGGGTCAGTGTGACGCTACCATAAAAGGATACGCATTGAATGATGAGAGAACGACGATGAGCGAGTGAACTGAGGTGGGTCGATCCCTCACCCACTCGCTGCATACATGCTCCTAGTACATTACCCTCGCATGTGACGTATTGGAGTTGTTGGCATGCCATTGCCAAAACGTTCAGTCTCTGGGATACTGGCTTACGCGGCCTTATCACAACGTGCATCATGGGTCCTCGAAAGGAGGAAAATTTGAATTAAAAAGGCAACATATAACGGCCAGCTCTGGTAGTGCTCCCTATCGAGACATGGCCACCACTCAACTCGCTGAACATCTCACTGCAGCCCGCAAGGCGCCATCCCCCAACGTGAAAACTGCTCTGCGCCTCTGCGACGCTTGGACTTCATACTCTGATGAAACCCTGAAGACCACCATGGATGAGTGCGTGGCGGACAGCTTTGTCTGGAACGCACTTCCAGAATCACTCAGCACGCTAGGATGGAATCAGTTGAATAAGGCGGCGTTCATCGAATCATTCCGGACTGCTTGGTGGGCCGCGATTAAGGGAATGCAGGTGCGCGGTCCGATCAGTCATTTGTTTATGCGATAGGAGCCCAAAGACCATTTCCTTTCAGCTTATCGTCACAGACTTGGTGGAAAGCGAAAATAACGTGATTCTCTACACAAAGTTCGGGGTACGTCTCTTCATTTGTTGTCATACCTGTGAAGGCCGACGGGTCCGTACACGCAGCCCGGCGTCGTTTCGGTAGAAGGGAAGTCGATCGCTGCTTCGTTCGTGAACGGGTTTCGCTTCAACACCGATGGAAAAGTGGTGGAGCAGAATGACTTCCTGGACACCAAGTGGAGGTCGGATTTCTGGGGGTCAGAGCCCCAGAAAACCATAGTAGCAACCGGTCGAAAGTCTGTCGCAGCCGGAGGAAATCATTAGCCGGAACTGGGCTTCATTTCGGAATCAACAAATAACAGTCAGTGTACGATGCTTTGCCGACTTGCCGAATGACAATGTAACAGTCGCTCAAGTCAGCCCACTTTTACCCGAGAATTCCCAGACCTCCGGCCAGGTGTCCCTGATACCTCCATGGAGAGAACAGCTGACTTCGAAGAGCAAGGAGGGCCCATAAGCTGAGGCGAGAAACAGAGCTTCTCAGAAGTAAATCTACACTTGATCTTTGTGGAACTGTCGAGCAGCGGTTAAACACGTTCAATGGCACTGAATGACTCCACTGAAGTGTTTCCAAGGTTGTCGCGTTCAGTTTCCCAGCCCAAGGGCCTTAAATTTCTGCACTGCGAAATGCGTAAAAGTGATATATTCAAGGTGCCGGGAACATTTAGAACACGAGAGAGGACTGTGTGCAAACGAGGGTATTTAAACGACACCGGGTGTCCTAGAACTGGGCTGGGAACTGCTACTAGATGCCTGGATCAGCTGCAGCACCATTTGAAGAAAAAATTGAGATCTAAAAATAGAAGAGGCTAGACTGCTCGCTCGCGACGGGGGTTTGGGGTTAGGGTTCCATAGGTATGACTACATCGCGTCGCTTCCCAAAGAAATCGTTGTTGGGGACGGCACGTCGTCTAGAATTGTTGGTGATGTACCGCATAGTCCGACGTCCGATACTTATAGAGCGCTTTGGAGGCGTAAGGACTCCGACAAGGGAGAAGGGAAGGAAGCGTGTAGGACAAAGGAACAAAGGAGACCTAGACATGACGGCGGAGGGGCGCTTTGAGCGGATGCGACCCCTTCAACAATCGTAAAGCATTGCTAAAGGAAGGACTTCAGAAACGACTACTGGGACTTACTTGTAGGTCATCAGGCGAGCGTATCCTTGATAGCCTCCGAGAGGAAGCAGTCGCAGAGTCTCTGGCAGCGTATGAGAAGATAATTCAGAGGGCGAAAGTTGGGTGGGGTGGTTCCCCCATCCGCTTTGACTGGGGGAGTTTTGGACACCGTCCACCCAATACTCGATTGCTTGTAAGAGGAATTACAAGTGCATGATTTAATCCCTGTTTGCGTGTGTTTGTGCTGAAGATTGCATACCAAAATTCCCGCTACCCCGTAGCGGGTCCTACGTTTTTTTCTCCCCAACTCAATTGTCCTATGCACAGGGTCCTGTATGACCCCCAAACCCAGGGACCATTATCCTCACTCCCTCCCAACCTAGGGTTCCCTGCTTCCTCCCAAGCTCACTGACAAATCATATCTCCTGAAAAAGCTCATGTTCACTCCCGATACAAGTGAGTCGCCGATACATCTAATGCTACTTCACTTCTATGCATGCGGGGTAAAGAGTAGCGGGATCTGCCGCTTCAGGCGGCGTTCCCCAGTTATAACACCCCTAGCCTGCAGTGTTGGAATTGGAGGTTGGTTCCGTGTTCCGCTTATGTAATCACATGGAGCAGCAAAAGTGTACCAAAAATGTCTCGTGTACTTTCTCACCACACACAACAAATAAAGAGAAACATCATTAGTAAACATTAATCAGATTGACCTAAAATAAAAATAGTTCAGAGGAATTTTTGAGAAAGTCAAAAATGGCTGTGTTGTGGTCGAGGAAATGTGTATAATTTGCCCATATCTTCAATTGTAGGAAGTTACACGCAAATTCCTCTGAAAGTTTTGTAGAAATCTACTATCTGCACCATATCCCCGATTTATATGCTCTCAGGAGGATACTGGAGAGAGAAAGTACAAACGGGGATTTTTGTTATGATTTATTTGTACTTCCGTTTAATTTATCAAGTCTTATGAGAAAGCAGGCCAATATAAGCTATGCAGCGAAGCCAGTGCTTGTGTCAGCATCTAATACAGGCTAGATTTCAGAAATATGAGTCCAGATTAAGTGTCAAGGGTACCAGCTGGGTCGTGTTTGCCCCGATGCAGCGCACAAGTACAAATAAACCATAACAAAAATCCCCGTTTGTACTTTCTCTCTCCAGTATCCTCCTGAGAGCATATAAATCGGGGATATGGTGCAGATAGTAGATTTCTACAAAACCTTCAGAGGAATTTGCGTGTAACTTCCTACAATTGAAGATATGGGCAAATTATACACATTTCCTTGACCACAACACAGCCATTTTTGACTTTTTCAAAAATTCCTCTGAACTATTTTTATTTTAGGTTAATGTTTACTAATGATGTTTCTCTTTATTTGTTGTGTGTGGTGAGAAAGTACATGAGACATTTTTGGTACACTTTTGCTGCTCCATGTGATTACATAAGCGGAACACGGAACCAACCTACGTTGCCCACCCCCATTGGAATTGACACGATCAAACCACCAATCAGACCATTTGTGGTCTGATTGTGGGGGTTGGCAATCCAGTGCCACCCTGTAAGGGATGGATGGTGGGTGTGGAGTGGTTATTGCTGTCAGAGACCAGGGTCGAGACGAAGGAATGTCTCCGTAACGGAGGGCTTCGGCCTCAGCGACTTCTGCCAAGAGTGCTGTGCCTAGTGACACGTCCGTGCCCTAACTTACTGACTGGCAATTAGAACCTAGGGGGGTAACTCTAGTTGATTTTTCTACTGGGGCATAACCTATGTACAAGTGGGATATATATATGGTTACAGCGGAGACGGTTCCGCAATTGGCGGAGCCGAACGGAGCGGAGCTAATGGGGTTTAACCATTAGCTGACTGAATATTACCGACGAGTCGGTTCGTGGGGTTAGCGGAAAGGCAGGCAATAACCCAGAAACGGAAAGGAGGGATAAGCCCGAAGGTGGACTCTGCAGGGCAGGCGAGTGTATTGCCCAGCGGAGGCAGGGGTGCGCTAGCGGACGTCGGAGCTGTCCGGAAGTCTTCGGGGCTCCGTACTTAGGGAGGTGTAGGTAATAAATTGAAATGAGGGGGTGGTGACCATCGAGGGGTACCGAGAGGATTGCGGAATAACGGGGGCTCCGAGGTTAGTGAGGGAGGAGCGGAGTTGGATCGGAGGGATCGGAGGGACCGGAAGTCGATGGTGTTAGAATGGGCGGAAACGGACGACTCCGGAGTGGAATCGGAGACTTAGCGTGGAGGGACCTTGGCCTCAGCGACTCAAGTGGAGCGCTGTGCCATTGCTGTTTGTCCATTTGGTCCTTAATTTCACAGTAGGTGAGCAGGAAGTCTCTTGGGGGCATTTCAGGTCGATTTCGGACTAAAACCAAAACGAGTATGTACAAGCGCCGATATATAATGGAAGGGGCAAAAGCACAAAGAGAACAAAGGGTGACCGAATCGGAACGAAGACGTCCGAACGGGAACAAAGGGTAGAGGGGGCGGAGCGGTACCGAAGGTCATAGGGCAA